TTTTAGGAGAAGCAATTTTCAACTGATTATCAAATATTTCAGATATGAGAGGGATATAAAAACAGCTATGTATACTTATATATCAAAAAAGCTTTTGAACAAGGGTATTATCCTTAAAATAAGGTAATGAAGTACGAGAAAGGTCGATAAGGGGAGATAGAACTGTAATTCCCAACATATCAATATAGAAGAAGAAAGTCAATCGCCTAGAAACCTTAGAAACGCTTATCATAGCGAATGTTTTAGTTATTTTATTTGTTCACTGTGAATCGATAGATAATGATCTGTTTTTCGCAATTCAATTATACTAGAGCATCGCAAGACTATACTTTGATATCACAGCCACTTTCGGAAAATCTTTAAATATTCCACAGGTGTATTTTTGAAAAGGTCTTATAAAGGTGCTAAAAGTTTTTCCGGAATTAAGCACTTGAAAAAATATTCACTCATGTAGGTACTACCATTGATTAACGTATTACGCCTGACAGTTGCCAATCTGATGCTATAATCCCGCATCGAAGAGATTATCCAAGATAAAATGATGATTCTCTATTCACTATACAGGGTGACTTCGAAGTTGAGTCATTTATTTTAACAGTGAGTAGATCTGATCAAAAGAAATGTTTTTTCCTTTACCATTTTTCTGGTAAAATTAAAGTAACAAAGTTATAGCCCTTTGGAAGTTTGAGTACCGCCCTGTCTCAATAATAATATTATGTGCTCGTGTTTGGCGACAACGGATATAATCCGCCGTATCGGTTCATCGCGTCGGAAATAAAAAAGCGAAAGAATTTGGAACGATGTTTTTACAATTATTTTATTCATTTGTATACAGTCAGTGTCAGTGAATAGTGTGTTGCGTGGCTCAAACGAAATAAAAAATGGCACATGTTTATGCGGATCGGTTTCCCAATCGAGTGCAACCAACCCCTCGTGCCTTTGTTAATGTAGTACAACGGGCTCGTGAATCAGGTGACTTAAGACCTCCCAGGGGACCTCACGATCAAATACAGGTCCGCACTGAAATACTTGTCGGGAGGATACTTTATAAAACAAGGTAAACATTTTTTTAATTTTTTTTTTATTTTTACACACATATTTTGGTTTATCTTCCTTCTACAATCATTATCTGAAAATTAATGACTCAACTTCAAAGCTATGCTTTGAAAAGGTTACGTAGCTTTTTCAAACTATTTATAGTAAATACAGAAAAGCTGTCACAAATTCTCATAGATGACGCTACGATATCTCATCTTATCTTGAATAGTTTTTGATCGTATTTGGTTGGCTATCTTCAATGCTTTTACTGAGTCACTTTTAAGATTTGTATGATCACTAGATACGAGTATTGTGTTATCACGTCGATACGCATACATAGAATACAGAATTATCCTATTAGAACCACACCTGAATATGTTACCCTCCTATAGAATCCTCAATATCCTTCTATGAAATGCATCCCCCTCCATAAACTCATATTGTTACCCCTGTATAACAGCGATATAAGCGTGGCGGAACGGTAATAAGCATTACGGTTTAATTATACCTATCTCGCTATTCAGCCGCAACAATTTGCTTTATAATTTGCAAGACCTACATGGAAAACAGAGTTATTCTACTGTATTATGATTAATCGATGAGTTTGTTTCGCATACGTCAAATAAAAATGAGGACGCAATATTATACATACGTCTTTTCCCGCTTTTCTTACTTCGTATCGTCGTTGTCTAACAAAGCAAGTCATATGACCGTTGCATTTGTATCGAAGTAAGACAGTCAGTTTGTTAATCTGTCGACCTGGTTGCCCATAAATCAGACAAATTTAAAAATAAAAAGAAGAAGGAGCAATAAAAGAAAGAAAAGAAAGAGCAAAGAGTAAGAAATGTAGTTATTAGTAAAGAAAACGCATAGTTAAAGTTGCATGATTTTGAAAGATAAGGTTTTAATAAAAAGTGTTATTATAAGACCTGAAAAAGCATAATTAATTTGGTTCACAGTGCGATCCGCGGCCTAGAATGTTTGCGAGGAGGGAAACGTAAAACAGGGATGGCCGTGGACAGAGTTCACATGATAACGATTCAGTTTATTCCATGAAGCCATGTAGGAGCTGCTGATTGGTAACTGTTCACTTTTAAGTTCAGATTTCAGTGGCATACTAGCGAAAAGGTTGACAGCCACGTGGACATAAAAATTAAAAAAGCAAAAAATAGCTTTGTTAGGTCAGGGCGTATTCTTTTTCTCATCGGTATCTGCCGATTACCGACAACTGTCGGAATACGCCAACCAAAGACTTCATGTCCTAGTCTAGATGCGATGAGCTCGCGGAAAGTACTGCAGAGAGTTACTTCAGTACATAATTTTGTAGCAGATTTATTATGCTATATATACGCTTGAAAATAGACAAACTGTTGTGGTTGTGTAGTTCCAGCTTGTGGTTTAAAACGCGGGGCATAACAACAATGTATCTTTATCGTTATTTATGCATTTATGGTGTTAAGGTTTGAAAATAAAAAATATGAAGAAAAATTGAACGGTTGTGACAGCCTACCCACAAAGTACAATTAACCACCCGGTCATAGATAATCGATGTTGATTGTGTAATAGGCGTATGAGTCTATTAGCGCTTGATATGTTAACGTATATATTGATTATTTATGCCAATGCTAAAATGAAGTGAAACGACTGCACATACAAAACTAGTTCTCAAATTCTGCCATTTCAGTACATTGTATTTTTGGACAATTAAGTTATGTTCCAGTTTTAGTACCCTGTTGCTATGCCCCACAATTTAAACCACAAGTTGAAACCCACAACCTCAATAGTTTGTCTATTTTCAAACGTATATATTAGTTTGGAGTTTTGTTTTCAATGTTTCCCATCTACAGAGATCTCTGACGAGGCGCCGCGACGCTTGGTACAATAAATTGCTTGCGCTTTCAAATGGTTAATTTTGGTCTAGCTGCCACCGATCTACCATCCATCCATTCCAATACTTCTTCCACCGCACATTGCAGCAAATCATGGACACACTTACCAGACCAGAATTGAACCACCACCTCAGTGTCATCAACATATGAGCGTCACAGTCGTTGGGGCTAGAGACATCCTATATAAACAATCGGTAAAGATTGGTCCGAGGACCGAACCCTGAGGAATACACCAGCCCGTACAGGCCGCGTTGTGAACGAAATTTCTTTCCTTCAAGGAAGGATTTTAAAAGTTTTAGAAGCCATTATAGAACGCGCCTTTAGATCAACTTATAAGGAAAGCCTTCGTGCCGCACTTTGTCAAATGCCAGGATGAATCCCTTAATCACGCTCTGCGCCAGTCTGACTGCCTATAACTTCATACTATGCTCAGACCGAAAAATTCTCAAAGTAACTTAGAGCCACCTTTTCTGTAAGTTGACAGCGGTTGACGGTAATTTTGAGGGAATATCGAACCCGCCTAATTCAGAATCATTGTAACCTCGGCGGTCTTCCACGCCACTGGGAAATACTGGGCCCTTAGCATGGCATTGATTAATTATTGCACGAGGTAAGCCAAGGACTTCCGCGAAAGCAGTTTTAGCGCCTTATTAGTGATTTGGTTATCCCCAAGTGTGTGCGCACCTTGCGGCCTTTAATATGAATTTGAAACTCTGTTGGTGTGCAGTGCGGGATCTGGGATGCTTCTGCTTTTATGCTATGCAGATCTTCAGTTGAGGAATCTTTCCGAAGAAGAATCTTCTGAAGGGAAATCACTAAATGATGCGCCACTACCACTGAGTCCGTTGGCCCTGAAACTGTGTCTTACGATGTGTTGCTCCTCATCAAGATCGTTATCACGATCATAGTTGCGTAGAACGGTGTCTTTCTACGGCATCAACGAATACCTCCACCTAAAGGCTATGCCCCCAGGACCGTGAATATGCGGAAGTTGTTCTCGCTTTCTGTTTCGCCAACTTTCAGATAGGAATACTCGAGTTAAGCATTCCAGCTAGAAAGCCGTTCCATTGGCAATTGCGGAATTCATGAAGAGCATGAAAATATTCGTCGCTCTGCGAATGCCATCAGGATGAAAAGACGTTTTCGTTTGATGGTATTTACCAATATATCCAAATACATTTCTCCATTCAAATTTCCATTAATAAACAATCACTTTGTTTCCTAAAATGCTTGCCCATACATTAATTTTTTGAGGGTACTGGGTATGCTCTGCTACAAAAGCATGAGGATTTTCATTGCTACAATACCTGCAGTTATGCTTATTAACAAATCAATTTAAATGAAATGTGCCTTCATCTCTGAAGCAGATATTCTTTACATGAATGGTATTATCATTAATTGCTGCAGTCATTTGTTCACAAAACTCAACTCGCCTATCGAAATCATCTTCGGTCAACTCTTGCAATATTTTCATTTTGAATGGATGAAATTTATGGAGTTTAATAACTGTGTACACAGAGTCTAAATGATATACCAGTCGCAGAAACAATTTTGGGTAATGAAGTATTAAGATTTATTCTAAAATGACCTAAACTTCAACTTGGGCGGCTTTATCCAAAACTCTCCGATGACCACGTTGTTTATTTGTAACAGATCCAGTTTGAGTAAATTTAGTAACAAGGTCCAAAACATACCTATGCGAAGTTATATTCCCCGGATGTCTGGCGTTAAACGTGATGGCAGTTTGCACATGATTTTGGGCACCATTTCTGCTCTTTCGGCTAGTGTGTAAACCATTTTGGAAGTAAAATCTGAATCAATAAATTAATTTTCACTATCCCAAAATTGTCACAACGGTAACTGACAGAGCAAATTAAATTCTTTCTTTCCCTTAGCAACAAATAACTAAACAGGTACAACAATAAATACAGTTCGCCCAGGATAACTGTGTTGATGGAAAAAATCGGGTTGTTATTTGGTTGTTGCCACGTCTAATCTTTCGAATTGCTGTTTTTGTTGGTAGTTGCTGTTTTAAATTATAAACAAATTGTATGGGGTCAAAAAAAAACGAAATATGAGAAGTGCGGATTTATTCACGCATTAGAAATAGTTGTATAAATATAGGGCACTTGCTTTACTCTGATTTACCATGCAACAAATATAAAATAATGAAAAGCATACAATGTTATCACAGAAAAGTTTCTAAAACTGATAAAGTTTTTCCTTGCTCAACACATATACACAAAGTGTGAATACTTTGATAACTAAAATTATAACATTCAACAAACAACATAACCATCAAAAATGCCTTTGGTAATACGTATATAGGTCATACGGAAGCATGAAGTATTTTACTATTATTTGGCTGGTCATAATTAAATTAGAAATAAAAAATATGGCTTTGAATCGGACAATCAATAATGAAGTCAGGCTACATCCTGTGCCAGGCTTATAATATACAGAGCGGCTCAATTATGTTTCTTCTTCTTTCTATCTATACTGTTTTGAATTTGCATCGAATTAGAATACTAGAAAAGTTTTTAGGAAAATAAGTCTGTCTGAGTAAAAAATGATAAAAGGACTGAATAAATCAGTTTTCAAGACTTCAAAGATGGGTACGATCGCCACGCAGATGTCAAAACACTACGGTTTTTTTTGCCTATTTTTCATTTTTTGTGTGCCGCAGAGGTATAAGTTTCACTAGATAATAGCACATTCGAAAGTTCCTTTTTCAATTCGCGTAGAAATGCAGAAGTTACCAAGTCGTATTGAGAGCTACTCGTGTGGGTTCACGGATAGTTGCAGATAAATGTTACTCTGTTTTGATAGACATTTTGTAGACATATAATGATATGCAGATCATTACACAATTATACAATTATTTTTTACAGCATCAAATTCCCTAACATTTTTCAACGTCAAAATACGTTTCTATTCTTCTTTTTGGCTAAATGCTATAGCAGCACCTTTAGCCGAATCCCCGCCTTTGGTGAATACCAATGGAAGAAGATACTGTTGTTGCACTTCAGCCTGTAGCACTTTGTTTCTTGATAAGCCTGAACCATTGCCAACTATTCTGTCGATTTTTGCTTCTTGCAGGATCTCTCTGGGCATCATGCTGAAAACACTAGTATTCTAAAGCAAACATTCAAAACAACATTGAAGTAAAGAATAAGGAAGACTTGCAAAAAATTATCTTAACTCTCCTGTTTTTTAAAATGCGTCAAGCTTTTTGATTACTTTTTTCAAAGAACGGATTAGTAAACATCAGATAGACCAGATAGGGTCATTTCAAAACAACCATCATGCTAAATTCTGTTGAGTTTTCAACAATTCTAAGCATCAAAAAATCTATATATTGAGCTAAATCAAGACAAATGATCAAAGGCAAGTGGTATTAGAGACTAACCTTCGCATGTTTTCAACCAACCCCTTACAAAGAGCTCTAAAGACCTGCGCCAAATGTAGGTTACCAACATGAATGTTGCTGACAGATGCTGTTCTATCTGGGCTATGTCTCTCACCCAGACAAGTCGGCCGTACCTGCAAATCAGAAACTGCAGTGTCCTCAAGACTAATGCTCAGCAGTTTCTCCCAAACTTTTGCTGAAATAGACATTCCTCGGTTATTACACGAATGAGGTATATTGACATATTTATAATAGAAAATGGATAAGGATAGAATAAGTTTCATTTCCATTTGACTACAAAGCACTATTGGAAAATAGTCATACACATAGACGTAAACATAATATAAAACAAACAAAACAAATAACACATACCTAACAAATAAAAACATTAAAAGACATAGTTAAAATATTCCTCTATGGAGCAAAAACGGTTTTCTATGAGTATTTTTCTTTTCAGGGTGATTCACAAGTCGTGACCAAACATGAAACATTTTAAGGGGGTTTTCTATGAAACATGTTTTCCTTTAGAGCTTCATTAAAAAGATACGGGGTGTTGAAGTTTAAAAATATAAAACATTTTTTTTAGTATCTTCAAAACCGTCAACTGGAATGAACTAAAATTTGGTTTGAGGATGTACCTAAGTATTGTCCACATATAAAAGTCTTTACTTAAAATTAATGTGCACCAGTGGCGGAGGTACAGGGGATTAGTGGCATCATTTTTCCAAATAAAAATAGTACGCCACTGTTTTTTTTTTAGAAACGCGCAATTTTTCGAATGATACCTTCAATTTGCTACAAATAATTACTCTTAGGTTTTTCCGCGTTCATTTCTAAGACTTCGGAAATATGGACTTGCCAAGCTTCCCAGAGTTAGAGGATTTGGTGTTCAAGAAGTAGAAGTGATCAATTTGTCGTTGATGCAGTAATTGAGTTCAGAGTGTACAAAGGCAAAATAATACATTAACAAAATTTCTGTACTGACATATAATTTCAACTGCCATAATTTATAGCCATGTGTCATTAGTTTACAGAACATCTATATGATTTGACCATGTAAGAGTTCCATCAAAATGAACATCCATAATGCTGGAGCCACAAGATTTAATAAGTAAGCTGAAGCCCAGCTTAACTATAAGATGAACTCAGTTTTGTTATTGTTTAAGACTAGGCCATTAGCATAAAAATGTTTTATTTCAATACAAGATCTGCAGGCATGCTCTTTAAGTTTAGCATTTACAAGAAAATTCGTGTCATCAACATAAAAAGAAATGGAGATATTTGAGCATTTTACAGTTATATAATTTATAAAAAATATAGATAATGTAGGACCCAAAATACTACCTTGAGGAACTCCGCACATGATTTCTTTGGATTAAGACATTTGCATACCATTATTTTTTATCAAAATTCTTCGAGCACGATTTGATAATATAATACGATATTAATAACATCAATATGTGTCAAGACTTCACAAAGCTTTGAGTCATAGTCTAGGTTCATTACAAAAAATGAAAAAAGGCATATCATGCTTATGAATGCTGTCATGAAGAGAGATTAATTTTACTACAAGATCACCATGGAATCCCTGATAAACTCATCTAAAAATGTATATTAAGTGCTTTTTGTGAAAATGGAAAGAAAAAAGTACTAAGAAACTAACATTGAGGTACGTTGAAGCCCAATTCGAGGGTCCACTGTTGCAACATTTTGACGAAAGTGGCCAAAGCATTGCCACCATTGAGCGAAGCGGCAACAGCGATGTACTGGTGCCCGAAGTAGGGGAAGTGATCCACTGCAGACGCCTTAGGGGGCCCAGAAGAGGGCTGGTATTGGTCTACCACAAAGGTGATTTGTGCAGAGGTGGAGATATTCAGAACTGCGTCTGTGGACCGTTCTACCGTAGATAGAACAGAGCACTGCAAATCTCCTAGGCCTATACCTGAAAAAAATAATGAGGTTGACAGAACAGTGAAACTCCTCAAACATGCATGAAGGCTACATCATGCTTCTCCACCATCAGGACTATGACAATGATGCAAAGTCAAACAAATCAAATTTTATTAACATCGAACTGTAATGGTCATATCATCTCTTACCTACAGGTGTTCCTTTAGGTATACTATGCCAATCTCCTGCCAAGCTTCCAGCAATTGCTCCACTCTGCCCAACTTCTGGCAATAAATTCACAGGAAAATCAGCCTGTTGCAACACCTCTTTATTCCATTGTTTTGTAGCACAGTTGAAATACCCCCAACTAGCAGCATTCTGGTATGACATCATTGGTTTGTTCATGTTACATAACATTGCTACAGCAAAATCAGATATTGTTCCCGAGCAGTTGTATTTCTTCAACTTCTCTGGTCTGAACAGAAAAAATGTTGAAGACAAAGAAGTTTGTTCCATTGGCTCATCGATAAAAGTCATATGCTATACCCTGTTTGTAGTCCATTTACGTCCCGGCACAACAAAGATGCAGCGCGGCAAAGCGGTAGCCGCCTAAGCGTTGCAACAGCTATTGGTTATTCGGTGATACAACTACGAACGAGTGCAGGAGTCGACAGGATAGAACTTGCCCATCTAATCAGGCAGCACAAATATAAATATAATGTTAATGTTATTGAAGAAACATTCAAATTTTCTGACGTGAAAAATTGGATTTATGAAGCTGTCAACTTAGTGACGGCAAACCATTGGAAATATGGTATCCATCACCTTCAAGAGACAATCAAAACAAAGATGTGGGATCTGGACAATATGATCGATATTCAAATTGAACCTGTAATAATAAATATTAGCCATTCGGATGATGATTCAAGTACTTCCAGCGAATAAAGTATTGTGAAAAGTAATTGCACTTCTTTCTATAAAGATAATCATTTATTTTGTTAGTTTATTCCAAGACCATTGAGGAAAATACAGATCTGTACAATCTGGGTTTTGGGCATGTTGTTTTGTCTGGGCGTAAATGGACTATGAAAGGGGATAGACTAAAGGAGAATCTCATTCTTCAAACAGTATCCCGAATCCCCGTATAGCCCCACGGTACCCAATAGGTGCTTAGGCCTTAGGCCTTTGTGGTAGTTGGAGTATAAAAAAAAAAAAAAAAAGTATTTCTAATGGCTAGAAAGTATTAAAAAAAGAAGAGCTGTAGTAATTGAAAGATGATGTTTCATGGGTTTCTAACCGGCCATATTTTGCAGGGCATACTCATAGTCATTGGCTGTGTTAACTATCACCTCTGCAGCTGAATCTTAGCACTACTAGAGTATGCTTCAGCGCAGCTGCTGTATGACATCTAAATGAACTGACAACCACTGGTAATGATAATAACCTGCCAAAGCATAAACAGTGCTATTGTCTCTTTTATGAGAATCCATTATGTCAGAGTAACAGCTGATTATCTAGTAATATTTCAAAATTCCACATATCGACAAATTTCACTGAATTCTGACGGGTCCGTTAATGCTCAGTAGACAGAGCTATATTTTGTTTTGTTTTTTTTCTATGCTACAGATTCATTTTGTGCTTGCTAACAACTCTTTTATTTAGAAAAGTTCATTTGCATATAAAAAGAAAATGCTACAAGCAAGTTTTACTAGATTTACACCCAATTCAGTATTGCCAATGTTTTTGACTAATACAAAGATATTACTTGCTGATCAGCTGTTCACCTCAGTAGATGTCAAAACATGATGGATGCTCATGAAATAGGGTCTAAGCCTCAGATACTGAACTCTGTTTCCATAATGATTACTTTTAAAACATAGTTGAGTAAATATTATCTCCCACATTGAATTTGAAAATTTGCATACTTAATTTCTTCTTATCTTCAGGATAATATACTAACTTATGTTTCTTCATCCAAAACATGGTGGCACATCCAAACCCAGAGGCAATGTTCAAGTGCGATTGAGGTTTTGGTAACCTATCAAGGAAAGCAGAGTCACATCGATTGTCCTGCCATGTGTACAAGTTTGAAACTCTCTCAGGCACCACATCATATCTGATTGTTGTATCCTTTTCTATAATTTCCCATGCCTTCTGAGTAGCATCATTCTTCCAAAATACTACCCCATGCATTTGACCACATACCCCTATAGCCTCCACCTAGTATTTTATGAAAAACCACACATTAAGGACGTGCAAAAAACTCCAACCAGATATTTCAGATCAAAAAAATCCTATATAACTTATACCTCTTGTAGTAGATGCTTTGGCAGTTTGGATACACACAGATTCAAAGTAGAAATGATTTTGAACACATCCTGCTTATTTCCACTATGCCCTGTATCACTGGGGATATTTGACTGAGTGTCCTTAACATGCTGAGCTTCGACCTCATTGGTAGAAAGATTTACTATACAGACTTTGACTGAAGTAGTACCAATGTCAATACCCAAGTTGTATTTGGCCATTTTGGATGTATGAAGATAGACAATTTGTTTCTGTAATAATGATATAGTATCAGCACTATTTTGAATCTTTATAAAATTATGATTTGATGAGTACATAATAAGTACTCCTATTACAGTAGTACTATAAATATACCTTAAAACAGCATCACAATGCTACCTGCTATAGTTGTCGACTGTAGCACAATAGAATATTACTGCAATACTATTAAAAATACTGAAATAGACCTTACTTCCTTGAATTACCAGCAGCATTATCTTAATAGAATTTATCACATAATTACATCTTTCAGGTCTGTCTATAAATAGAGAAGAGTAAATCTTGACATACAATTTGTATATACTTATCTGCAAGATACCACATCCTGCTCTAATTATATTTTTAATTGGTTGAATCCAAGTTATTTATCATACTTGACATTTTCCAGAAATATTGCCAAAAAACTGATCATATTCTAATTTTAAATGTATAGTACTTACCACTTGCTTGTTTAAAAGATTGACGACAAGCACGGTCAGGAAAGCTTATAGTGCTTGATAAACTAGGTACAAAGTATTTGCACACGGATACGGTGTCTAATAAATGTTTTTATCTATTGATTTTCGCAACTTCTTGTTATCAATGATAGCTGCTAATTTAGATTCAACAGTTACAATACGATACAAGTTAATTGAATTACGAACAGGTAAGGTTATTTTCGCTTAAAGACAAGGCTACAGACATGCATTATTAATTATTTAGCAAAATTATAGTAATTTTCGTGTAAGCCTGCTTTTAATCTACCGATGTTTATCGACATAACCTTAATTCCGCATGTCACATAAATACTAGTGGTGTTGACAAAGTAATCATACGATACTCGAGTACTCGTTACTCACAGATACCCGAAGTAACGAGTAGCAATCCGAGCATGAAATGAATACTTTGATTTGCCAGAAATCCCACATTCGGGTGGAAGCCTGGAAACTCATTTTTTTTTTAATTGACGGACATAGAGTTTGGTAATTGTTTTTAAATCTGAAGTTTACCTATTTACACCGTGACACAAATTCGCTTTTATTGTTGTGATCTTGGGAACCTGAAAAGGAATAAAGGGTAGATTGGATTGGAGCAAAGTTCGGCAGTATTCTGAGGCAGAAAAGCGGCAACAAGGTAATACCACCGTTCAGGAAAACCACAATAATAAAAGTTATGTCAATTAGACTCGTGTTTACATGCACTGTTTTGCTAAAAAAATTATAATTCAGTATGACCACCAATAGTATCTGTAGACTAAGCTCCACGTAGTGATTCTCTATTGAAGTCAAGAATAGGGGCACTGGAGTTTTATGGTTAAACTCCTAGTTAATTTTCACCTTAAGGATTGGCGATTTCTGGCGATTTTCTCATCAAAACCAGGTGACCAACGTGACTGAAAACCTGGCAACCCTGCTGGGATTATCTATCTTTATCTGAATGTAAAAATATCAAATATGGCGTTTGATTTTGTTAATATCTAGATTATTAACGCTGATGCTCTTGGAGATATTTCGTAAAAAATGAGCATAAAATATAGAGCAACACTATCAGTAGCTGTGATGGTATACGTGAGATGTATTGTGACTATTGTGGGAGATGCAGAAGTTCAGGAGACTGTCATGTCATAAAGTGCTACAGGTAAGCTGTTAACTTAACATATCGGCATGATGTATTTGGTAGATCATTTAAAAGTGCATGTCTGGATTCAGCCTCTTTATAATCCTTGTAGTTGATACCGTTCTATAAAGTATGAAAGGCCAACAAATGAAATTCATAGAACGGAGCAAACTAATTATCAAGAAGCGGTACATGGTACAATGGAGTGAGACACTTGTGTTTTGCAACACTCAACATGAAGTTGTAATAAATCTATCTATATTTTCATGTAATACAATTTTTACACCATTGTCAACAGCATATGAATATTTTTTTAAACTAAATAAATTTGGTGCTTCATAATTAGGGTTGGATTTTATTATTCTGAACCTTTTTCTCTGCAAAACTGCTGAAAGAGACCCTTATTAGGGATATTTTATGAATATAAGTTCATGAAATATATTCAATACCGGAGATATAATTTTCAGCAGATTTCAAATTATGAATAAACGATATCCCCGGCACATTCCTAGCATCCCTTATTCCAGGCGTATTCTCGGCATTCTTTCGATAGTCCCTCCAGGCAAGTCCAAGTAGGCGGCGCAACCATCTGCCAAAACGTCAACGGTGTTACCATTGTTTAACGTGCAGCTCCCACTTCTTCAGTCTTATGTGTTTTGTGCTAAGGTTTAGTGATTGTACTAGTTGTCACCAGCGATACGAGTAATCACTGGAAGCAGATGGAATGGCGATTTTGTTTACTATTTTTCTGGAAAGTGACAGTTACACATCCACGTAATTCACATGTCATCCTGACATTTCATTTGCATCAAAAAATTCAAAACAAAAATATTTGTAAAATGCAGGGAAAATGAAACTATGATTCCAAGTAATGTTGCGATGAATGAAGAGAAAACGCAGTTTCCCCTAGTTTTAATCAGTATGTCCGTGATTTCTGATTTGAATTGATATTACTGATATATTGTAAAAATCATGGATCTCGACTTTAAGAATCTTATTGCCACAACAGCATCTTTATGCACGATAATCCAATTTTTGACTGGGACGTGAGTATTTTCACAAATTTTACGGAATATAGACAAATCTATGCAGGGATTCAAAACCCCTGCTACAAATATGGAGGCAGAATGGATTTTATTTATTTTCTACTGAAGCCTCAACAGGGTATCTGAAAAGTAGGCTATAGAATGAACAGAAAACAAATAAAATCAATTAACCAGTTAATAAAAAAAATTTAATCTTACCTTCTTGTAGCAGTTACAAGGTACAAGGCATAAAGAGAAACAGCATTATGAAATAAGTGGAGGCATCCAACAGATTAGTTAAGGCTTTCACGGCCAGTTGATAAACTGCTGTCTTGATTCGGATCTAAAGGCCGTTGTCGGTTGGAATTTCTTCCTAACATTTCGCTAGCACGAGTGGCAAGCTTCTTCAGAGGTGCTTCCATTTCCGATGCTGGATGTAGACAAGCTTGCCACTTATGCTAGCTAAATGTTAGGACAAAATTCCAACCGACGACAGCCTTTAGACCTGAATCAACAGCAGTTTAAGTGGAGGCATTCAGTATCTAACAGTATATTACACTATATGGCTCTATACTAAGTGCCTTCTGACTTGTTTAAAAATGTTGTCGTTGTTAATCAATTTTATTGTGTTTGGCAAGCAACTGGAGACCTTTAATGCATATGTAATATCGTGTCTTTTAGGTTAAAGTTACTCTAGCTAGAATAATTAACATTATCTAAATTTCTTGTGTTGTGGGTATGACATACTTGTAGGTCAAAAATATATCAGTTCTTAAATAGGAAAATCAAACATTCATATATGTATATAGTCTAGATACTGTCAACCTACCTTTACAACTATTTTTATACCCCATATTCATAACTGAAGCGTGCCATATGCAAAAGGTGGTATGTGCAATTCTATAAATTTTACAGGAGGCACATTATTTTGTTTTGTTTTGTCTTACTAAGAAATACAAAATGTTTGTAGCTATTTCTGATATCTTTTTGGATATAGGCAAGTAATAAAACACATACTTTAATGAAAACATTGGTATTAAAACTAATATTCGCCATTAATTATCAAAACGTAGTATCTGGCAATAAAGTTGCACATGTATAATGAATGGTAAAAATCGTATTTTAAACAAAAAATCAACATGTATTGTTTTTCTAACGCCTTTAATATACAAGACAGTGTGTTCTAATACAAAACATTTTATTATAAACCTTAAGTTAGCTAATTTTTATTCATTTTGTAGGGCCTCCTGACTCTCCACCAATTTTTGATAAAATTCTTGATTGGCGGGTGAAATAAAAGGAATCATACTTTTGATTTGTTTAATTTTTTCTTTGTTCCATTTACGGGGTGCTTGATCCACCAGTACAATATTTAAATTTTCAAAATATTGTGGTGTAACATTTGGTTTAAACACACTCACTTTGCGCCACGGTGCGATCTCCGAGTACGACGTTTTAACTTCAACTTGCTCTAAGTTGTCCTTAGATATTTTCAGCATTACAGCTTGGGAGATGCCCAGGGTGGAGGTTACAAGGGTAGTTTTGGCAATTTCCATCCAGTTGAACCATCCAGTAGTGCATTTAATTACAAATGGATTCTTCAAACGTGCACTTGCCATTATACGCACCAAATCCATAGGTACTTCAGGCTTAAGACCTTTTTTGGCTTTTTCTATGCAGCCAAAGTCCCTATCACATGATAGGAATGTGTGGCCACTTTGTGGAAACTTGTGCACTATCTCGTCGAAATACCCTTTGGCTACCAAGGTAATATAAACAGCCAAAATACCCTGGTTTTTATTCTGCCCCCCGCAGTTATCGGACCATAAAACCAATTTTCGCTTTGTAGTATTAAGCTGAGTTGTAACGTAATCATACAAACAACTACCGATTTCGTTACATCCTCGTTTTCCAGCTGTTTCATCCCATAGGTACATAAAACCTTTTCCTTCATCTTCAAAATGTATTCCCAGATTAATACAAGTAAACTGCCGACTATAGTACATCTGCGTATGAGTCAATGCTGGAATATATAACTGCTTTTGTAAATCGTAAGACAGCACACAGACATCAGAATCAGGACTTTTGCAATCTTCTATGTTTTGGGACATCATTTTTTGAGCACTTTCTGCTTTACGTTGATGTAATTCTCGCTTTAGTTCGAATTCATTTTTTTCCACGGGAGTCTTACTAGCAGCTATAGAAATTTTGTACTGGTCGCAAGTAGGACAGGTGTCCACTCTTGGGGCTCCAAAGGCTAAACTGAATTCTTTCTTGAAAATTTCATTAAACCATTGTCGGGAGACTGGGGGCTTTGTTCCATCAAGCCGATGTTTTTCAAGAAAAGCATTATATAGCTTACGAACAGTTAAATCTTCAGAGAGGTATCTTCGGTTTGTTACCTTTTCTCGACTGTAATGGCTTTCTCTGCTAGGAATTGACGCAATAAAATCAATAATTTTGGGTTTCCATAGGGTTTTGTTTCTGGCAGGACGTTTACCACCTCGTCTATCTTGAACAGATATGCCGGAGGAGAGTATTCGCTGACTAAGTATCTCCAGTCTTCTTTTCGTAATAGCCAAAGTTAAACACAAGGTACTTTTACATACCTGAACTTCAGATTCTCCTGGAAGTGGTATAAAGTATTTAAATGAGTGTTGTCGTCTGCTCTGGTTGGAATTATCGTAAGTTCCATGTCTTCTACGTTTGATTAAAGTAGGTCGAATAAGGGAACGTAAAAAATTCTGCTGCTCATTATAATCTGCCAGTTTCCAAAACTGCTCAAACAATCTTTTTCTTGCAACAGCAGTAATTAGCTTACAAGAATACTGACAGCTGCACTTTACCTAAAAGAATATTTCAATTATATTAATTTCCTTCAGGAAACTGAGCTCCATATGCTCTTCAAAAAAAAGTGTTTACTTACCTCTTCGCAAAAACGTTTTCCAGGTATTGCTCGCTTTTGCTTTAAAGTTAGATATGGACTTCCAGAGTTTTTATTATGTTTTACATCTTCTCTTACGTTTCCAGTAATTTTCCTTTTTTTGGCACGTATATCTTCAGGAATATTCATTTTTTTCGAAAACAGTACACTCGAACAAGGCTCCAAAAGCTTTGCTAGGTTATGTTAAATAAGCAGCTGTTTGTTGGCACTTACTACGTTTTGATATTTAATGCCTTACATCGCCGCTAGGCAAAGCGCCATTGATATAAATTTTATTGTACAAGTAAAGCATGGCACATACTCCCTATTAAGCTTATAATCCGCATTTGTGAAAAAGTGGCACTTACAACGTTTTGCATATGGCACGCTTCAACTATTCTGAGCACCAGTTTTTGTATAATGAAGATTCTGTGTACACTGCACTATTACTACCACAGAAAATAAGTCCATACCTAAGCACTCATTCAAAGTTTTAATTCACATAACTTGCATACTACCTGCATTCCATAACACATTGAACTTAAACGTTGATATATGTACCCCACAAATGTGGTGTGTCCACTCCAACAATTCCTGAAGCTGAATGTTGCAGGCATTTCAACTCTATGTTGCATGTTCTGAACATTAGTACTTCAGTTTTGGTAGTAGTAGGAACCTGTTGTCTGCATAAGAAGTCACACATTCTCTGAGCTTGTAATAAATTCCATGTCATTAAGAAATAAGAATAATAATGCTTTTCTGTTCAATTTATCTTAACTGTTACATATAAAATAATTTTACCATAACAGTAACTCATTCATGTTGACAATGAGTGAATGATGAAATATTACCCTATATAGAGTGAACATAAAATTTTAATATGCCTACATATTCATAGAAGGTTAATCACAATATTAAAATGTATTGAAAAGAAGACAAAAATACAAAACTATAATGTACGTCATTGATAAATTAGAAATTTTGACTGCCATACATTTTTTTCCAGATTGGTATGCCTCAAAATAGTAAAAAACAAAAGCACTGCTGACATGTCATCACTGCCTTTCATCAGTGGATGTTTATCAACAAGCCTGTGGTTAAGATATGGATTTCTTATTGAAGACACATCCTTAATATTAGTTAACACTGTTGGGTCAACATTATTTTTTTCATATGTAGTTACTTTTTACCTATACAGTGTCAGAAGGGTAAGAATACAGTATACCATGGGTGTCTTATAGCATTGATATTCCACCTAAAGATAGTCAACTATGTAGTGTATTTCAGCATCCAAAAAATTAACCAAAATGAAATGACATACCATAACATCATCTGTGTTTTGGTTTTTGTCACACATTTCATAGGCTTTAGGTGGTTATGTCACAATGTGATCAGAAATAAATAAGCATATTGACTAATGGTACCATGTGGGTACCTTTACTTCCTTACACTCCACACTGTGTAAGCTAATTTCTTGCACACAGAGGAATTGGGTGATAGAGGACTGTTATTTTCATTTTCAGTTTCCAAAAATACTTCTAATATATGCTGTTGATATTGTGGTTGTATACTCAGGCACTAATTACGTATTATATTGAACATCAGTGAACATAAACACAAATCACACGCCCATGCCAAGCAAGTTATGGTACTGACAGTGAAAAGCATGAATGTGGAAGACTCGTACGTTAACGGCAGATTTTCCATAGCAGTGAGACAAAATTAAAAAAAAATAACGTCTGAGTTCACACGAACAAACGTCCTCGCATAGAAGCTGATTGCCGATGTATGCGTGAGGGAGATAGCTGAAGTTTTACTGTGACCTGTCAAAAACCGTGAAAAGACCTATAGCAATTGGACTCGTAGACGCGAAAATTTATGTAAGTTCACAGACATACGTTTTTTAGTTTTGTCTCAGCGCCTTGAAAATGTTTACGTCAGCATATGACTCTTCCAGATTTAAACTTTGTCACTGTATATCAACTTGCCCGCATGAGTCTGCGATTTTTAACCTTTTTTTGTTGTGCCTGTTGTGAATTTGTTAAAATATTCATGCAAAGGGGATGAAAACAACAGTCCTCTGTCGCCCAAATCGTGTGAGTGCGCAAGAGCGATTAGCAGCAGCTTTATGGGTCGGCGTGCGCCTCGATACACATACACGTTGCGCATGTGGCCGGCGCTTCGTGACGTCACCCAAAGAGTTGTCGGCTCGTGGTTCCCAGCGGCAGGATGGTCGTAACGTTACTGCAGTGCACGTGTATCGTGGTTAATACTATATAGTGCGATTTGTTGGTGATTTTTGGTGGGTTTGTGACTTGAATTAGTTATACATACGTTATATACCCTGTGATGGTAGTAAATTGATAAAAATGCGGGGTGCTGTTGTGCGATGTAATTCCAACAACCAAAAAAATCTAGTGTGCTGTTATTGGATGTAATTTCGACTACCAATCTAAACGGAATCCTCGCAAAAACATGAAGTTCCACAGTTTTCCTCAAGACCAAAACCTTAGCAAAAAATGGATGCATCATACAAAAAGAAAAATCAAAGTCAATGTAAAAAAGAGCTAGGGTTTGCTCGAAGCCTATAAGGTCAATTTGAAACATACCCTTTTGGGTTAAACCCCTAAAAGATATCGTACTCTAAAAGATGATGCAATTCCTATGGAAAATTTACCCAAGTCTCTATCATCACCTGGACCATCTACATCTGTTGATGGGGAAAAGCGGAAAAGTGCTTACAAAAAAAGGCAAACGGCTCAACTTATCTCCTAGAGTTTAAGTATAGAATACGGTCATATATTTTGGGGCAAAACGAAGGTACATACTCAGGGTATTGCAGTGTAGAGGAAGATGATACTCCGGACATTCCACTAACCGCATCATTAACGAATAAACTGATTGCACCTGAAGTATCAGCTGACAATTTTTTTTTTTTTTTTTTTTTTTGGCGTTAGGACTAGGAGTCCATGCAGCCAGTCATTAGGTTTCTTAAACATATATGTTTCTAACACATTAACACATTGACGCCACAACATCCATGGCTTCGGAATGTGATTTCCAAAGGCGAGATTCGAACTCGCGGCCCGGCCGGCCGGCTGATCAGTAGCACGACACTCTGACCCACCCGGCCAACCGAGGTCCCATCAGCTGACTATAACGAAGAAGTTTTATTGGAAGAAATAGATGAGCTCTAGTATGACGACGATATGCTCGTTGAGTTTGAATTATCGAATGATGATATTCAAAATAAAATTCTATAAGTTTGGTTCGTTGATTAAGATTGTAACGCACCATAATTAATCTCCAAGATTTATTTTTCACAGTCCTGGAAAAAAAGAAAACAAAATAAATTTAAAAAAGTTATTAACTTTTCAAATCCCTCCGCGACTTTTGCCCCGCCCTATACTTAGGATGTTCTGTAAAATAAGGATGAATAAATGTAGTGCATGCAGTATTAACGTCATGAGCATATTAATCCTGCTCCACAGAACATACTAAAATATAGGTAATGTAGAAAAATCTTGTTTTTACAGTAAAGTGACGATACACGCTCTATTGTGGAGCTAGAAAGCCGTATAAGCTACAGCTCGTGAGATAGGATTGACAATGTTGAAATCTTTTGTTTAAATCCGCCATTTTGTTTTGTATAAAATTTTAATGTAGATTGTGTCACTTGCACCGCTAAGACGAATCCAACGACACTTCATATGTGAAAAGCCGTCCAGCCGTTTGGCTTGTAGTTGAAAATATGTACGTTATCCATATCAACCCAAATGATAATCACTCTCAGCGTGACGTCATGCGCGCCGGCGGATCAAAATCAAACAGTGGAGCATCCGGCACTGGGCGTGCGCTGTGTGCAGTTTTCCTTAGGGAGGTTAGGCCAATAACCTTGGAAGGAATTTATGTTTCTCCGCTCCACACAACAATTAGAAATCTACTTTGAAAAGCTTAATGTCTCATAGATATGCTCACATAGTTGGATACAGCGCCGTATATGAGACTAACATATTCAACATAGATATTTAATTACTGTGGAGAGGATAAACATAATTGTAAAAAGTACTTATAGATGACATTAAGGTAACTCATTTCATCTCAGATAATTTTTTTTACAATGAAATACACTACATTTTGGTTGGCTATCTTGTTGTAATGTACGTTAATCAATGCTCATGGCCAATTTTATTGTTAAATTCAAATCTCTGGCAAACCAAAACAGCAAGAAGTGACATCTATTCGGGTAATACAGGGTCCGTCAGAAAGAACGCATGTTTTTTTAGAGGGTTGGTCCCGTGTCGGTGGGGAAGGGCATGTTGGATAGTGGGAGAAGTGTCGTTTCAGTTGGCAAGATGTTTGGAACGTTGAGCATCGTGTGTTCACTGTACGTCGGTACTTTCAGAATGGCGAGTCTGTCTCGTTCGAACGCAACGCGAGTTTCGCGTTCACGTCGTGGGACAATACCAGACCGTAACATCATTGGAAGCATTGAACACAACAGGTAATGTGATGAAGAAAGCCAGTGCGAAACCGTACTGTTGGAACCCCCGAAAACGTAGACAGAGGGAGAGTTGACACGCTGCAAAGGCCGAATCGTTCCGTCCGTTTGTGTGCCAGTTCCCTAGGGATCCACGCGTCCTTTCTACGTCGCATCTTGAAGAAGGATTTAGTGTTCCATCCTTACAAAAACAAAGTTTGTCAACGACTGTTGCCAGTGGATTATGCACAATGTGTTAATTTTACACAGCTCATGATTGAACAGTTGGATAACAATGACATGACGTAGTTTATGAGTGATGAAGGATATTGCCATTTTCATGGATACGTCAATAAACAAAATTGTCGATATTGATCTCCAGTGAACCCCCACCAGTTGCATGAGCACCCCCTGCATACCCCAAAGATGATTATTCGCCCTTATTTTTTTTGATGATGATTCAGAAACAACTACTGTGAATTCAGAGCGTCACATCCACATGCTGAACAACTTTTATTTCCGGAACTTCGACGTCGACGTGTCCATCTCAGAACAGTGTGGTTCCGACAAGACGGGGCAACATCTCGCACGGAACTTCTTCGGCAAAAATTCCCAGGACGTGTCATTTCACGTCATGGCGATATTCCATAGCCCCCTCGCTCCCCAGACCTTTCAACGTGTGATTTTTTTTTATTGGGCTACCTGAAATCAAAAGTTTACCAAAGCAAGCCTCGGACCCTCGACGATTTGAAGGAGGAAATAAGAAGAGAAGTAACCCAAATTCCTGCACGGATGCTGGCCTACGCAATGGGCTCATTTCGCCAGAGGCTTGATTCCTGCATTTCGGCTCAAGTGCGCCATATGGCTGACATAGTTTTTATAACGTAAATTTTGTTTTACTCAAAAAATGGCACATATTTCTGATTTTTTTGATATAATAAAATATTTTTCCCATACTTATTTTGACTGTACTACTCATTTAAAAAACATGCGTTCGTTTTGTAGACCCTGTAGATAGCACTTTGTCCTGTCTTATTTCGATAGACTTTGTATCCTGAATGGAGGATAGTTTCATTTGTTGTACTACCTGAGACCAAGCCTAGACCATGCTGAGGAGTTGCCTAACAGCACGAAATAGCTGTTCATGGTTGGTGGTCTGTAGTGCGGACGAACGAAAGCTATATTCCTAGTTTTTGTCTGGCAAAGTTTATGTTATTAATTTTTCAAAGGTAATTATTTTATCTTTTAGGGTACAGTATTACAACAATTTATGTTATGCCTATTTGTATTATCAATGGTGCTATTATACATCCACAAAACAAAAAGTGATGAAGAGGCTAGATCTCATTTAGGCCTGATATGTGCTTCAGTCACTATCATGTTCTTTGCTGCACCTTTAGCTTCACTGTTCCATGTTATTAGGATCAAAAGTGCTGATAGCTTACCTTATCATTTGATACTTGCCACCTTCGTTGTATGTTTACAATGGTTTGCTTATGGCATGATGTTGAATGACAAATTCATTCAGGTAAAGTATTTTTTGATAATCTTATTAATAAATATTTTTCTATCCACCTTTGCCGATATTGGAGAATTATAAGCATATTCTAGCCAGTATTTTCGACAATTTGTATCCAAATTTAATTGAATATTTGCTGACAATAGTACCTGTCATATCTAGTTCCAGAAGTTGATTATCGGGCAAGCACTTTTACAACATGCCAAAAAGATGATCAATAACAGCCTTCTCAAACACAATATGTATAGAATTTTTTCCTCTAGTAAAACTATGTATTACAAAATATTCGATTTTATATGAGGTTTATGACATTTCCAACCCATTTTACACATATTTTAAAATAACTAGTTACCTGATGTCAAACTGAGAAACTCAAATTTTAGTGAATGCAATAGACAGCCAAGGGGACTAAGGGTTTTTTTGTCAATACCAGAAACTATTATCAAACATTATTATGTAGGTAATTTAGGTTTTCAAGAAAGAAAAATACATGGGAAGCTATACATTGAGAAAAAGACATTCAAAGTCTGAACTTCTGATTCATTTGTATAGATGTCAAACAAAAATGTAGCATAAGTTACTTATTTCGTTTTTTTTTTCAATATTTACCAAGAACTTAGAACTGAGTGTCAATGGTCTGACAGTCTCAGCTTAACCATCTCTTTTATATTTACCCTTTCTTTAGGCTGTGATTTATTTTGGCTTTTTTGTTTTTAGGTGCCCAACTTCATAGGATGTATATTTTCAGCATTACAATTGAGTCTATTTATAATTTACCCTAATCCCAAAGATAAAAAAGAAATGACCAGTGTTGTATAGTGAATAAAAGTACCACAATGGAGACTGCTGCACTGTAACATGGAGCTGTGGAAGTATTTTTAATGTTATTTATTATAGTTAATCATTCTGACTAGAATCATATTCTTTGAAATATTTGTTTGTTTATTTTTATCATATGCTTAGTACAAAATAGATACTTATAGTATAAAATTGTCTATAGTTGTAGTCACCGTTCTTGTCAGGTAAATGTAAGACTACCAGTATCCCTTTATATATCCCCATACATACACATGCAACCTACCCCTGTGAATGTTTGTACAGTAAGCTCAAAGACATATGTTTTTTAGTTGTGTGCCTCTGTCTCGAAAACTTTGTCATTATGGTAAAATATAAATTATTATATATAATAAAATTGTACAATGCCTGGAAATACAATCAATGGAGAAAGCTGAACAGCTCATGCTAAATTTATTGGAGTATTTCCAGTAAGAGTATGAAAACAGCTGTCCCCTGTTACCCACTTCATGCATACTGGAGAAAGGTGCTGAAGAGTAGTATGTGCCATGATCCACCCATGGTATGGAGACTTAAACTGTTAACTTATTTCATATTGCGTTGATGATGTAACTGCCAAGAATGGTAACTACAACTATATGTATCTTCATATTGGGTGCAATGGGGCTGTTGCCCACTTGAATAAAAAAGTAATAGTAACACAAAGCTATGACAAAAAATAGGGGATCTCAAGACAATATTGATGCCCACAAGCTAAAGATTATTTATTCATCTACTTGGTAGACAGACTTCAATATTACTGCTCAATTCTTACTAAATAATCACATGTGAAATGATATCATGTAACACTATGGCCATTATGTTTTTTCAGTTCTTTAGCAAGATCAATCTGTTGTTGTAGTGTGTATAAATTTTCTGCCTTCTTTCTTTGTCTCATCTCTATATCTCTGATGACTCCTTCGTGCATTGCTTCCCTAGAAAGGGGCAATCTTTAAGAACTAAAACATTTTTTAATAATGAAATATTACCTGTCTCTTATCTGTTTAATATGAACGTATCCTATGATTGATGCTGAAAACACACACGCGGCACCTAGACATATTTTAGCTTGAAGAGACATTTTAGAAGACTATAAAGAAACAAAAACAATTTAATAATTTCTAGGTTAAAGCATGACCTTTCCAATCTAGAGTTGGGACAAACTTGCGAATCCAAAATTAAGAGTATCCACCGCGGTAGAATGACTGATTCAATAGTTCTGTCAAAATTCCTCATATCAGTATTACGACACGTAATTCTGACGAATCCGTCAGTGCCAGGTAGACAGAGCAATATTTTGTTTTGTTTTTTTGTACGCTACAGATTCATTTTGTACTTGCTAAAAGCTCTTTTATTTAGAAACTGACTGTAGGTGTTTAAAAAACAAAACGCTACAAAGTTTTACTAGATTTACATACGATTCATTATTACTAAGATTGTCAACGTCGCAGATTAACACAAAAATGTCACTTGCTGATCAGCCGTTCACCTCAGTAATAGCATGATAGATACTCGTCAAATAGCGTATACGTTTTGCTCATATTCTATCCTATTCGATATAAACGTAGTAAATGTCAAGTTTCTGGTGTTTTGGATTGCCTTTCTGAAGACTTGTTCTGTGGTCCTGTCTCACAATCAGCCGCTTTTGACATAATTACAATGTAAACACTCTGAAGTAAACATACGTTCTCCTTCTTTTGTGTACGAATTGCGTTTTAAATTATTTGTGGCAGAAGACTCATTTTTCAATAACTAATCATATATCTACATATCATAATGGAGGAACATATGAATAGCAGTTTTGAATGGGTTTTGAAGAACTACATAATAAAACTGGCAGATATTATAGACAAGCTGGCAGACCTGAAGAAAAATATAGCTAGTCACCATCACAAATACAATATAGCTAAAACGGCTGGAACAGCAGTCAGCGGCACTGGTGTTGCAATGATTGTGGGTTCTGTAGCTACAGCACCCTTTACTGGTGGCAGCACAATGGTTCTAGGTAAGATCTACAGTCTAGGCTAAAGCTACAGTCGTAAGAGTCCCAGTGCAAAATGATCTCTAAGACGATCCCTTAGAGCGTTATCAAAATGCTCTGGTTCTAGAGGGTAACTACCCCATTTGCCCCTAAATAGCTCAGATCTTTATTATTATCATTAGTTGTTTACGAACAGCACACATTCTGACCTAACTTAAATAAAACTATCTGAACACACACACACACACACAACTTCATTAGAATCTTACCTCTGCCCTTGCCGCTGTTAAGACACCCGGATTTTCGTCGTTTTTGAATGTTTGACGTTCATGATTGAGGTTGTGTAACTTTAATGTTTGTAAATAATTTCCCATAGTCTCTATTTAGTCAATAATTATGGAGGAATACTAATTAAAGTTTATCATTAATAATGATAATAATTCTTTTCAGTCTGTGGATGGGAGTGATCATTCATTCAAAATGACGAATAAGTATGCAACAGTTATAATAATAATAATATTCTTTATTGCCAGCACAATTTTAAAAGAAAAACATAAGCAACATCAAAGAAAAGCAAAAATGTAGTACCTACAATACCATCAGCAAATATAAGCAACACCTAGGCATCATAGATTGGTAACTGGTCAAAATTAAATTTGGTTGTACATGTATGTATACAATATTAAAAACTGTTAATGAATGAATGAATCTTGAATTTTAGAGGCATCCCGGCCACCATAAGGAGCCAGTGCATAGGCCGCTTAAGCGGGCCCTTATGCACCTCTACAATACTTAAATCACAAGCCTCGCCCTTTTAGCGAAGTTGAGAATCGCCTTGAGTCCAAGCTCCTTTACGTCCTGAGGGTCCAAAGTAATGGACCCCAGTATAGTCTGCCTATAGTAGCTCAGAGCTTCACAGCGACACAAAACGTGCGCCGAGGTCTCTTCCTCTACTCCGCAGCGTTCGCACAAGGGATCCTCAGCCACCCCCATCACGTGCAGGTGCCGCCTTAACGTGTTATGGCCAGACAACAGTCCCACCAGCAACCTTAGGTTGGCTCTACCCAGAGATAGGCAGAAGCGTCCATCCTTAGCACTGGGCCCTTCAATGAGCTCTCGTGCCTGGCGGAGATGTCTAGAGATACTTCTCCATTTCTGAGAGTGTTGTCTTGCAACCCACGTCTCCATTTTCCTCCTAGCTTTATGCGCGGTTACTCCTAGAGCTGGCTCAGGACCAACGAGCTTGCTGGCTGATCCTGTTTTCGCCAGAGTGTCCGCCGTCTCATTGCCCCAAAAACTGTTAAAGTGACGTACACAAGTCTAGTATGTTACAAATTAACTTAAAATGTTATTAAAATAAAATGATGGAGCTCACATGTTAAAATCAAAGTTGTACAAACATCTGTCCAGCAAAACTTTTTTCACCACTCTTTATTGTTAATTATTACAGTTACAAGCCGAAACAGCAAACCAAAACCACTATTTTTTAAATTAGAATTGAAAACAGAAAATAAAAACTACAACCACAAACCAACAATGTCTAATACACCACAAAACATGTACTTATTATCTTATTATTAACTCGTTGACAGATATGGTACGTTCCTCTTGAAATCATGCTTATCAACAATTTAGCTCAGATCAAAAGCTAAATTTAACTTAGGTCAGAAAATCGGCAGTTCGTAAGCAACTATTGTGAGAGTAACTAATGATAGCGTAGTACTAAAGCTGCTGAAAGATTTTTGGCATAAGTGTCTGACATCTCTGTATTATGCAGCTGCAATTCCTAGTGGCTTTACAAATAGCTCTGCTGAAAGTCACTTGAAGCATATTCCGTTGAAACCTGGTTAGATGCACATTTTATTTTATAGACAAGGTGCTAGAAAAAATGCAATATTTTTTAAAATAATGGATTTATTTCATATAAAATTCTTTCCACAAAGGCCTTGTTTAAAAATGTTTCTCATAAACCAGTGGCTTAGAATAGCGCTAAGCATGGGATAAAAAATGTGTCTCTATTTTGCAGGGGCTGGTGGAGCCATAATGTCCCTCTCAGGAGGACTGTCAAATGTAATAACAGATTATGTGGACTACAAAACTACTACTATGATCATGAGTGATCTACAAGAAATAATTAGAAGCAAAGAAACATTTGATGAAAACCTGACCAGGCAGCTGAAACACTTTAGCATGGTGATTGAAAAACTTATTGAAAGTGGTGTTGACAAGAATGATGCTGTGATTGTAGCTGTTAAAGGTACAATAGCCATATTGGAAATCACTCTTAACATTTAATAAAATGTTGGATGTACACTAAAGGTGGTGTGCTTTGAATCAAACTACATTTCTTAATGTAAAAAGAAGTGTGAAAATTACTCTTGAACATAGATATTTCAATCATAATGTGAAATGTGGAACTTCTGACCAAATATTCAATCAATCCAAAATAGTTTGCCCCCTTATTTGACGATGGCAATGATGGTTTTACAGGGATAGAGCACCAGTGAAATAGAAAGGCATGATGTAACAAGTCATTCTCGAATTGTCAATATCAGCCCTTAGAACTCACTCAACCAACGTGGATGCAATTGTCATTAGTGGGATTTTTATTATAGGAATGGAATTTGCTCAATGGCAGTGATTTGCAATTTTGCTTCTGCTAGGTGGTGCTTGTGTTTGGGGTCAAACTCAAAAGAAGATGTGAAAGAAAAAAAGATATTTGGTATCCGTTCATTTGGATGAAGAGGGTTACATTTAAAAAAAAGTTCATTTTCCGTTCTATTGCGTTAATAATTCAGAAAATGTGTTTACATATATGTAGAAAATGGTTACATCTGTTTCTCTCGGCAAACGGCTACAACTACAGATCTAACCATTTTCCACATAAATGTAAACACATTTTCTGAATTATTAATTCAATAAAACGGAAAATTAAAAATGTGAGATGTATAACCCTCTTCTTCCAAATGAATGATATTACCACAGTATTAGGACAAAGAATTTCACCTGCCGAAATCATTGTATCAGTTGCTGGTGTGAAGCTTGGCTCACATGGTCAGGTCCTGATACAAAGCACAAAAAGCAAAGAAAATACTGTTAACATTATATTGGAATTATCTCCAGCAGTGTTTGGCTTCTTGGTGATGAAAAATTGGGTTAAATGATACAAATTTTTGAAATTTATTGCTGTCAATCATAGTTTCAAATGTTGAAAATATGGTAATTTTGCCAGTTCCAGCAAATATGCTCTCATTGCAGTGGTCACCATAAATAGTTATAATGATACCATTCTCTATATGAATGTGACTCCTCTTGAGGGACGCAGAATGGAATGTGGCTTACTTTTCTTGCAATTATCAATGGTCACATTGATTGTCCTCAACTGTTGGGAAAAATTACACTTGACGTAAATGATAGGAGAACGCGACAAGCTGATACATTTTTTCGACACCTTTCATCAGACAAATTATGCTTTGAACGAACTCATAACTCGTCTTATTATGTTAGGCGTTGAGTATATAACCAGCTCCAAAATAATTGGAACTTCTGTTAATGGGTTTAAACAAACAGCTAAGAACAAATACTATGTAATTATTTTAATCAAGGCTGTTTTTGTATTTATAGCAAGGGTTTTACTGGTTGCTTAAATAAATAAATGTTTTTCACGACTCGTTTTGACGTCTATGTGAATAGCTATTCAGCATTTGACATCTTTGCCTGTCCATAATCTTATATGTGACCTCCAGCCGAACAGCATCGCATTCTTTTAGCTCTGCAGATTACCCCCTTGACTATCTAATAGTTGCTTCTTTCTATTCAGAGAATTTCTGCTTTTAGGAATAGCAAACGGTTGCATAGATCTCACCCATGAACCAAACATGAAACTAATGAATGCTCTGAGCACTGCCATAAAACTGCACCACATTGAGACTGTAGGAGTTGATGCAATTCCATACATTGGAAAAACCATGCACATATCAGAGAAAAGCTTCCAAGTTATCTTAAATTTCTTTGGACTCACTGGACATACTGGTGCTGCTGTTTTCAGAACAATGGGTAAGTATTCCACTCTTCTACCATTGATTAACATATTCCAGCAGAATATATCCAAATCAATTGTGAATCTGTGCGTTTGCAAGAGTAAGTATAAAAATTTAAAGTTCCTCATTTATTAGCCTACCAAACAAGGGTAAACAGTGCTTTAAAATTAATCAGGTATAAAATGCTCATCGAGGTCTTCTAGGGGAAGGTTTGAACTTTAATATAGACACTCGCCAACCTCAAAAATTGTAATTTTTATTCGAGTATTTAAGCATTTTCAGGCTTTCTTCGAAATTAAATCGCTAATAAGTCGAAAACAGTGACAGATCCTAAAAACCTGTTATGCTTTTAATGATCCAGGTAACCAAAGAAAACTTTTTCCAAAGCGAATAAACCATTTTTGATTTCACACTGTCAGTACCTCGACGCGTATTGAAATTTAAGAAAATACTTTTCCATTCAAGGGTTTGATCAATGACTAGAAATAACAATTGAAGAAATATCTAAATTACATTATGAAGAACTTCTTCGTTTTCGACTAATGATCATCGGCGCTGCTGACAGGCGGTGGGATAATAAAGTTGGGAGATAATAGGCATGCTAGACTTTTTGCTTCTTTTCAGAAGAAAATTTAAAGAAAATGTGGAGAATTTGGGAACCGGTCAATTAGCGACTTCCTCGATACCTGGTGGTCATTTTTGAACAGATGCTCCTGGGATATTAGTCGTAAAAACCTCCTATTTGTGGAAATTATTTTCCAATTCGATTCATTTCATTCCTTTGCATTCCTAACATGAATGCAAATTTATTTAAACAAATTGCAAAAAATTGATTTTTTTTACTCTCGATAAAGTCTGTTTGGATTTTTCGGGTTATTCTAATCGAGAAAGGTCCTCAATGACTTTTCTCTAAAGTTGATCGTTCTCGAATTATAAGTGATTTAAGGTTTTCCATCCATTGCGTTACATCAACCTTTATGCACTTGGCCATCTGAAATCTTTTAGTGGTTAAAAAATTAAATTTGATGTTTTTTCATATCGTACAGGCTTTGTAGAAACCATAAACTACATTTCTTATTACCCACCACAAGTGCTATCAGCTTCCACGCGACGTTCTCGTTTCCTCTGGATTTTTGCAGAGTTGGCCCATGCCTGTATTCCCGAAGACTGCATTGTCCCAGTTGAGTACATTTCATGATTTCCTGCATTAGCTGAACATTTCACTTACATTTTTCCAACTTCTAACTTGTTAGAATTACCTGAGTAAAGTTCAGACCTAATTCAGGAAATCAAACCTCTATTAATTCGGTCATAAACTGCCACACATTTTGAATAAATGGTGTGTCTGTTTCATTGCCCTTTAAAATCATATGGTGTTTCACGTTCTACAACTATAGTCAAATTCTGTTAATCTTATTTTATTCCTACCTGACTTGAAGTCATTACCATTAGCAGCCATTTTGCTTTTGTCGTTTTTTTGTGTGTGAAGGAACTTTTTTAAATAAAAGAGTTGTTAGCAACTACCTGGCGTTGACTGATCCATCAGAATAGTGTGTCGCTTGTCGTTTTAGGGAATTTTGAAATATTACTAGATAATAAGCTGTGTGTCATAATGGATACTCGTAAAAAAGGCACCCCTAAAAATTATAGGCTTAGTTTATTTTAAAGCCTCTTAACCTTTCTTGACATCCTAACAAATGGAGAACTTTTGATTTTCGCAGACTGTGTCTGTCGACTGCAGTCACCGTTACCACCTCTCGAACCCTTTTTGCACCGTTAAGAAATTCTGGGGATATGCAAGCTTACGAATAATGAGGAAGGTTGATGGGTGATCATTCCTTGAGAGGTTGATCTCACGTTTAACAATAAACAAATTGATTTAAAATTTAAACGGAGTCTGTTTTCTAATCAAATACTGAGATCCTACTTGATAACATGACTGTGAGGTTGGTAACTGTACAGTGACATCCAAGTATAGCATATGGTTATGTATTTTCACGGAGAATACAATAATCAATAATTTTTGAGAAGGTGAATATCTACCTTAGGAACCGTTCACAACTTTAGATTATCGTTTTAGGAAGAATATCAAGCGTCATATCAGTCGCCTTCACTGTTGTTGACATAGCACTCCTCATTAAAGACTGGACCACAGAACATCCTACAGAAGAAATCGTCTTGGAAGTACAACGGAAAATTGAAGAAGAGAAAAAGATCCTGAGTGATCTGTTAGAAGTTATCAATACATCCAAGGATTCAGTTCAAGATACTTGGAAGAAAGTTTTGGCAGAAATTGAGACGATAGAAGAGGAAGACTTGGCGTATGAGCATGACTTTGTAATTATTGATCATGACCAGCAAGAAACAGATACAAAAGAAAATAATACAGAAAAGGATAATACACCTAGTGCAGAAGGCAATGGAGATTCTGAAAAGAGCAAGATAGTTTACAAGGATCAGACAGACAACGGGACAATCAGCAATACATGTGTTGAACGTTATGGTGAGAGGAACACTGATCAATTCTCAAATATAAAGAGTATTGCTTGCACCAAGATTTGAATGTTTCTGCAAATGTTATTTCTATTTTATTTTATTTTCTCTCTATAATTTATTGAATGCACAATGTTGAAATACTTTGATTCATATATCTGATTTTTTGGAATATCAGTGTTTTGTAGTGATCTTCCTCAAACAGATTTTACATCCTTTAGTCAATGTGATGTGAATAATTTGATGAAGTTGTTGATAACTTCTACTTTGCCCACTTATATGTGAGTATATGTTTATAAATAAAAATACTTAATTTAGTGTTAAAATTAAACCCAAATGTATTTTTACATTACATTACAATACATTTTTTACAGAACATCTCGTATTTCATATAAACTTAATGGTACACATGAAAAGTGATACAAATACCTAACCTAACCGAAGTTGCAACCCGTCCTGATTTTGTTGCAGGGCTATTGCTAATGAATGAATAACCTAATGACTATTTTGAGAAATCGGTAGGTACAAAAATATTGACTTTGATTCACCAAAAGTGTGTCTTGTTTTTCACATTCAACAAACATCTCGCATTATTTGATATGAAAGTGAGGGTGTGTGTTCATAGAAAGTGATACATAATGTAACCAGGGTTGCAACCCGTCCCATATTTGGTCGGAGGGACAACTATTTTGGCGTCAAAATGTTCTTATAGGAATAGCTAGGAAGGTTCCAGTATCACACTGCTTTGACAAATTGGTTAGATATAAAAGATAGAAACTTTAACCATGGAAATTGTAAAGAATATCCTGTTGGAGTCATTATGGGTCACTACTAATAAAAGAAAATAAAATTGCGAACTGTTTTGTGTCTCATATTTCCAAACTTACTGTACTGTCCCGATGTTGGATTATAAAAGATAGAAATCCCAAACCTAATGGTAATAGTACCTTATAATTCAAAGATATGGCAACAATACGTCTTTCCTATTGATGGCAAGGCCGTTATAAAATCATAATGTAAGTGATGATCCTATACAGGGGTTACTACCCCTGTATAGCATCTACCCCTTAGTAAATGCAGTCACCCGGAGATACGAGGCACAAATACTGTTCGGTAGATTAATAAAAATCATGATGTGATAACAAATATCACACTCCCTCTTTCGTCGCCGTCAGAGTAAACCACATATATGTCAAAATTCAGGACCCATTACTGATCTAGAGTCAAAATTACACCAAAGAGTCTTACACACTAAACAGTAATATACAGTACACTACTATAAACTAATGGTTAAACAATACAGCTATTCTAGAGGGTGTCCCATAATGAGATGGCAATATCTAGGATGCATATAGAGCAGAAAAACTAATGCGACAAGGTCCTATGAAAATGTCCTCGAGGGCTCTTCTACAAAGATACAGGCCTCTGAGGGACACTGCTAGCAATCGGTTTGTTAAATAACTTGAATGCCACCATGTAATTCAATAAAATTTTACTAACCAATTGGGGCTTCACATGATGGTGTCCATGCAAAACTATGTATTCTTTAAGAGTGCCAGGGGCAGACTATCTCTAACAAAATATTGCTAATTTTTTACCCCCTGTATGGATGTCATTTTCGAAAAGCTTGGAAATTAGGCTGGAATAAATACTCTGTTTTACATAAACAAAATGAGCTGCCCGGAGAAAAACTCTTGTTTCAGATGATTCTCTCAATGTTGGTTCTGGATCCAGTATACTGATCCAGCCGTTTTGAAAATACACTAATTAGCAACTAGGAAAACCCAAGGATATACGAGAATTATGTTTTATCGAGTTTTAAGTAAAACCATTGAGAACGGTATTGAACCCGCTCATTAGATTAAAATAAAACAATGCGCTTTTTCTCAGCTAAAGTTTTCGCCGTCTTAAAAATATGACTCTTAGGCCTTTATTATACAAGATGTATACAAAATTAGCAATAATGCGTAGGACTAGTCAGGCGCGCCCGCAAGTGGGTGCTAGGTTTGGCCGTGACCCCCCCCCAAGAATGCGGTTTGACCTTAAAATTTGAATATTTAAAATGATTTTTGGACTTTTAGGTTCACCCCCCACCACCCCGCCCTTAGAAAGTTTCCTGTCCCCCGCTATTCAAAAAGTTTTGGAGGCAGGTAGACTTTCTAAAAATATCGCTTGCCGATGATCGGCCCTCCCAAAAAAATATTCCTGCGGGTCCGCATGAGATCAGGCGACCTAAATGAATGAATTGTTATCCATCAACCCCACCATGTGAGACCTATCCTGTAAAAATTTCGTGGAATTACACTGTAATGTTCAAATGTCAATTAAGAAGAAATAGGTTCGTTACAGGAACTTATTTATTTATTATTTATTTGCTCGATTGATTGTCATCTAATTTTGGAACACTCTTTATAAATAAATATTATATTCCATTCGAATTTTCAGATTCTAGAATCCATTTTCTGGCTAGCTTTTTGTAACCTCATCGTGGTCGACGAGGACGGTTTCGATTCCTCCTTATACTGCTAAGGACAGACACATTTCGCTCCCGTAAATTCGTACAATGCATCTGTGATTCTCTCATATCGCACAACATGCAATTCCTAAAGCCCAATGGGCATGCGTATTTTGAATATTCGCAGTTATTTTGATGTTGCGGGACTATATGGCCTTTTCCATAGAATGTGCATCCTGGAATAGTTATGAGAAATATTTTTATTTCAATTTTTAATAATAGTCTAATCATATTAGCAAATATCCCCGAAATAATTGTAAAGTCTGGCTTTATTGATGTAAGCTGTTCAAAGGGGTATTTAAAACATGGATGCATAAAATGGGTACACCGATTTTTGTGGAAAGACTTTTTGTTTGACAACAAAGATTGAGAAATCGTGTTTTTTGGGATTCAATCGAAAGTGTTGGCAGGAACCAAAAAACTATTCAAATAAGATTCTTAGGTCTTTATGAGACCTACAGAATGAGATCACACGTAAAAAGAGCCGACTAACAGTAAAAAAAGTTATGGACGAAAACCGAGGAAAAATGCAGGTTTTGGCACTTGCTGTGACCTGTAATTTCACATAGCTACTTGAAATTCTTCAAATCCGTAGGCTTCATACTTCTAAGTAACCACAACAAAATTGGAGTCGATTGGTCAAGTAGTCTTTGAGAATTTCTAATTGTTTATCCCAAAACACCCGTCTTCCGGCCATCACTACTAGTTTACTGAGCAATATTACAGGGTTCGTTCAAAGGGTATTTTATGGTAAAATACACGAGTGTACCTTGCCGACATAAATCACAAACCATTCCGAACCATAATTGTTTTTATGCGAAAAACGAAGTGTTACTTTTTTCTTCTAAACAAATTCAAACATTTCGTATTTGTGAGTAATTGAACAAATTCGATACGATATTCAAAAACATAGGTCATTATACACATTTTATTTCTCCAAATATAAAAAAGAATAATAGCAAAAAAGGAGCTTTGTGGATTTGAACCTCCGTCCTGCGGTTTACTGGATCTTTATACCACTACACTTGACACTGACAAATGTCAAGCGAACTTTGAAGGCATATCAAATCTATTATAAACAATTAGAATACTCTTGAAAACTATACAAGATACAATGCTGAAACTTTAAATAATGTGTTAGGTACTAATACCGAGCATTTTTCCTTCGTTCAAAGGGTATTTTATGGCAAAATACACGAGTGTACCTTGCCGACATAAATCACAAGCCCATTCCGAACCATAATTGTTTTTATGCGAAAAACGAAGGGTTACCTTTTTTCTTCTAAACAAATTCAAACATTTCGTATTTGTGAGTAATTGAACAAATTCGATACGATATTCAAAAACATAGGTCATTATACACATTTTATTTCTCCAAATATAAAAAAGAATAGTTCGGGCAGTAAGATCGAAGGGACCGACAGCAGGTGTCGCATCAGTATAATCTGTGGTTAAAGCGTGATGGATACTCGTGAAATAGGGTGTAAGGCATAAGGGACCCAGTGATAGGTCATATTTCGTCGCTATGCGAGCAGTACCGTGCCAGTATTACAATTTATAGCCCATGGTGCCCCGTCTTTGTAATACTACTTATAACACACAGTGTATGATTTTTTGAAGAAGCCAAAATTGGTTATTCCTAATAAATAATTACTTTTAAGTCATTCAACTCGTGATTTTTCGTCATTTCATGACAAGCTTGTAACGACATTTTCACTTGCTTGTGCTATCTGGGAGCTTAATCTGCGAGAATAACCACTAGCATACTCTAGGCTGGTTCAATTTTGCAAAATAATTTCGTGTCGTGGTCATCTCACCTGGGCTCAGGTGCCAGATCCTCCATAAATTTTGAATGTTTGTGATTGGGAGTATGATCAGTTGCAGCAAATGTGTTTGCCGTATTTACCATACACCTATCCGAAGGTATAAATTATTCAAAATGATAGTGACGCAAATAAGAGTAAGATAAGTATCTGGATTTTCTACGCAACCGACTGTATGGAGGCTTTTCATGAATGTGCACAATAGCCGAGATAACAAATTTGACTATTCCATACTACTTACTTCAGTCAACATGTTACTTACCGAAATTCTTATACTTGCAGGGAAATTTCAAGTATTCCTGCATCTTCTCTAAAAGATGGATCCTGGTTCTAGTTTTGATCAAGTTACAAATTTTGCATCTTTTCATAGTGTCAAAACAATTGTTGCAGAAACTGTGTCCAGAGGCACACTGTCTTATTGGAGGGAGCATGTATTTCCCACAGTCGGGGCATTCGAATGCTTCTACGACTTCTCGTTCAAATTGTCTAACGTCAACTTCTGTTACGCCGTCCGCCATCTCCAAATTTTCTGTGATACGCGGTTATATCTATCTGAAAATTTTGAGAAAGCATTCATAGTAGAAACCAAACGTGGCATTTTGCATTGAAATCAAGTGAACTGAGTAGTTTCCTGTGTGTTAAATCATATAAGGTGCCTCATCTCTTTTAAGTGATTGATTGCTCACTATTCAAATCTCATTTGAGTAGAAACATCCGCGAGCGACGTTCAAATCAGCGCGCTCTTATTAGCTTGCGGACTATAAATGCCTGGGTAGGCAGCGATCAGAAGCGGCGATTGAATGTTTTTTTTTGATGAGGAGCAAATGAAATGTGAACAATGGAAAAATAACAACAATTCATTAAATTGATTGTTCCATATTTGATTTCCTTCTGGGACAAAAAGAATGATATAAGCGATTCCAAAAAGCTACAATTTGACAGTTTGGCAGTCCGTCATTTTGAAGAATAGTATTTTTACATTATAAAGTTATAAAGCGCTCATACTGCTATTCAAAACGAGTTATCACATGGTCCCCAATTCCAAAATTATTCAGGACTCGAGACCTATCAATTCTTGGCAGACAAATAACAATTTTTGGATTGTGTTTCATTGAAATTAACTAAAATGAAAGTACTTTACAAAGTTGTGCATATTAAACTAAGTAAATTGCGTACCTGAACCAAAAATGAAAGTGATTTGAATCCATAAAACATTTAAACTTCCAAAACCTCAAACAATACAACAAGCAAAGAAATTAGTATCAGCTCAGCATGCGAGAGATGTTGAAGAGCTTGGAACAAATGGGCAAAGCTACCGAATAAGAGCTTTGATCAGAATACAAACGTTCGTGACTCCCTACAAAACATCACCAAAAGTGGGAACGTTGGTTAGGCTACATTTTTATCAGTCAAAGAATTCAGACTAGATAGAAGGACTCAGTCATGGATTTATTTTTCTCGTTACGCTCATGGTCTGTAGTGAGGATCAAAGTGCACTTGACATAAGTCATTTTTTGACAGTTGTCATGATATTCATATATCTAGTGTTATTTTTTGATAGTATGAGTGTTTCAGATAATTGTGATGTTAGACGATTCCATGACATGGTATTTCTTATAGTACATATAATTTGCATAAGTATCATTCGCGTATTAAAAACTGTTCGGGTAGGCGAGGGGGCAGAATCACGACAAAGCAATAGTTCACCTAAAAATTTGTGTATTCTAAGATTTATGGGTAAATAGAAAGGCCCACTGTCTATGAGCGGGGTTTTAGGCCCATAAAACATCTCAAAATTCAAGTTTACTGCATCTATGGAACGTTTAAATATTTTAGAAAATATGTACATGTGTATATGTATGTATTTTTAATTTTCATAAGCATCCCTTTTTAGTGATTGGTTGATCTTTAAAAGCTCAAAGTTCGCATTTTTTAAGTCTCATTATAATTTTGTAAGTATACGAGAAATACGAAAATGCGAAATGCGCACATTGGTGAAAAGTTTCAAAAACCCTTGTGTATCTGCAAACTTCCTTCTTGGGTGAATCAGGTCACGAATTTGGTTTCTCGCTGAAATGGATGTGGTGTGGGGCCGGCACCAAAGGTCTCATTTTCTACTTCAAATAAGGATTTGCGGAGCTTCTGAATTTTTTGGTTACAATATTCAAAATCAACATTCTAAAATCGCCTAGTACAGCGTCCCGGATTTTTTCATTACTAGGCATGGTTAACAACATTGAAAACGATCAGGGTATATAAAAGCGGGGTTTTCGGCCCTGAACATAACTCAGATTTCAAGATGATCGCATCTATGAATTTTTTGAATTTCAATATTTTAGAACATTTATTTAAAAGTTTCATTACATTTTTTTTTATTTTAGTACTTGATTGTTCTTTCAAAAAACAAAGTTTATAATTTTGCATTTTTGTTCAAAACTACAGCAGCTATCTGTTGCCTTTGAACAAACTAATCGCGCTGTTTTTGTCTGGCCACAGATAGCCAACCATGTACAGCTGTTTCGTGCTTTTTGGCAATTCAACAGCCAGCTTGGCCTAGGCTTGGTCTCTGGAAAAACGAACGAAAGCAAAGCAACTATCCTCTATCCGTGGCATGTGATCTATCGAAACAAGACAGGTCAAATCGCCACCTATTACCGGAATCTCAGTATGCGGTTGATAAATTTTGTCTACTCTGGGGCCCCAATAAACGCCGTCGCTGGCCCGACGCTCAATATTTCCTGTGAATCATTTTTGATACGCTACTCTTTGTACATATGCGCCCAACGTCGAGTCTATACAAATCCCTCACTCCCTGCTAGGGCTGACTTCCACTGACCGAGATGGTTTTTCCGTAAAGGGTAAACAGTGCGACCACCAATGAACTATTAATCGTGATGAACTTATAAACTATATAAACTCCAAGAAAAATGATTTTGGCCCAGCGATTGAAGATAGCTGTAATCATAAGGGTTTGTCACCAAGAAGAGGGTGGCTTCGTATTGCATGGTTCTGCAATATTGAAGAAAGCACCCATGTCTACCTTGATATAATGGCATATACGCAGCTCAAAAAGAAAAGTCAAAAGAACTTTGAAATTAGGATGGGGGGTTGATTCTATATAACCAACCATGGAGATTCTTTTACCGCTAATAATTAGATGGAGTTTTACACAAGATTGCTTGGGCGAAAAAGCTTTGCAGTTTTTGAAAATCGGTCTAGTGTCTGAGAGATATATTGAATGAATGACAAAAAATTTCACAGCATCCCAAAATGACAGTTTTCGAGGATTTTAGAGATAATGAACATTTTTTAGCATAATGAGGTCATACTTTATAAAATGTTATTCAAAGTTTCTCGATTTTCTGATCGCCTAGCGAGTGGTGTAGTCAACAATTTGTTAGGCCGAACATTTGGGAATCAGTTAATTACGGTTAGAATTCTCTAGTATCTGAAATTTTTAATACATTTACATCCTTCATTAGTGCTTAAGAAGTCAATTTGCTTCAATCCATTCTTCCTGAACGTAACAGCAAAAATTTTCATCTAAAAATCATTGTTATCCTTACCTAGTATTCAGTACCTACGATTTGTGGGTACTACTGATGATCACTTAATCATATCATTGCACATGAGAAACTGATAGCAAACAAACCTAAATTTTGATAAATTCCCACACAGATATATTTTTCCAAATATATCGATTGTACTTGAGATATCAAAAAATGAAATGGAACTATTTACTTGAAATAGTAACTAAACTACTATAGTATCCAAATGAGCTGATCTCAAAAAGTCGACCAAAAAATGTCCTTTTTGTGTATTGTACAAGAATGTACAAAAAAGTGTCCATGTTAGAGTGAAATTTTCGGCTGAGACAAAATCTTGTGGGTGTTCAGTATCATCAAGACAATTATATTTTAAAGTAACAATTTCATTTTAAAGCTTTTCATTTTATTTTAAATAGGAATAATTGATTGACACCTGAAAACTTTGTGTTTAGACAAAGAAAATGAGCATACAAGTGTACGAGCTAGTGTGAAACTTTCGGCTGTGATAAAAGTTTACGTGTTCTATTGAAATTTCATTTTTAAAGCTAAGGAAAATTCTTGTTCGACATCTGCTGTTTTTATGATAAGAAATGAGTGTGTGCCCGTTGGTGTGAAGTTTTTGGCTGTGATAAATTATCAACAAATTTAAAATTTTAGTTTTAAATTCTTGAATTTTAAAGAAAAAATAATTATTAGACCTTGTTTCTGTCTGGTGAACTTTACCTAAGTATCAGGCGTACCTTTCTGCGACATCTGCCCTTCTTCCTAATAAGCCGAAAGTACCTATTAGGTGAGTACTTAGTTTTGTGATGATTTTTAGTCTGCCCTTTACACGCTGTGTCTGAGTGTCAACGATTGTTAGCCCGTTGTGTGAGGTGAGTGGAACCCAAGTAAATAAATATTCACGCTATCGCTATATTTCACTAACAGTATGTTGAGCAATATACATTTATCCATTGATTTATGTCTGTTGCCGACTTTTAAATAATTTAACCAGGTATGATCATACCTCAGGACAAGTCAATGATATCCGATGATCGAACGTTAATAATTTGTTTACATATTTACTTACTTCACTACATAAAATAAAATTGACTGGAAAACTTATATTTATACAAAAAGTCCATATGTCGTCAAGAGATAATTCACCCTGCGAGAATCATACGGTTTCCACATTTATTCACCATGCCCTAATATAAAACCATATTATTCACTAGATCTTTCACGGTGAGAATGAAGTATCTTTGTATAATTCTTTGCCAAACTAATTTAAAGACATGTCGCTAACTAAATTTGAATGTAATTTAAAATATCACCTTCTTCACATATAGTTAAAATGATTTTTGTTTTCTCAGTGCCTTTATTGTATTAACTTTTTAATAATCTAAATTCCTAGTGACTAACACTTTTTGAGGGCGAAGTTAAAGAATAGCTATAGGTAAACTTCGAGTACTTATAACAATGTGTTATAAATAAATACGTTTAGGGATATAATCCCAATAAGCTAGGTCTCACATATACAGAAATCGTCGGACTATATGGCATGTGTTCTGTATTACTGAGTTTTGCATGAGTAGGAAATTTTTGGGGTTTTAGGTCTAACTTTTTACGAAATTTAAATAAAGACTTTGGAGTTACTCCCATATTTGATATACAGTAGAACGAAAATAATGTGGACCCAAGTGCTTTCGGATAATCGAAATTGCGGATAAGGCGGAAATAAATATTTAGACTCGTAAGGCTTTTATTGAAAAAAGTAAATGCGTGTGTTAGGTGAGTATATACATACATATACAGGGTGTTTCAGTTTATTGTTGCATAACTTTAAGATTCGATAGAACTTCTAAAATTAATGCATAAAGACTATATAAACATGGGTCGAAAAATGCGTGGCTTCCGAAATACAGGGTGTTTAAATTTACTTTCTAAAATAGTTTCTTTTAAATATTTCGAACAATATTTGATGTATAACAGTGAAAATTGGTATACAAGGGTTTTTTGGTACGACAAAACGAACCATGGGCATAGTTTTACTGTAGCCGCTAGAGGGCGCACTCTACTGTACCTGTAGTGTATTAAAATGACCGAAATTTTTTTCTTAGTGCAATTTTTTGCTTTTTGAATAAAAAAACTGAATCTTCGCACTTTTCAATATAAAAAAGGTCGCTTGTGAATTTTCGTTATAGTTCGCCGTTTTTGGGATATTTCGATTTTTAAGGTTCGATGCATTTTTAATTATTTATGATAAAATAACGTTAAAAAGTCAGTATCTCGATAATTTTTAGGAGTAGGCTGTGCCTGCAAATATTTTTGAAATTGAAATCAGAATAAGGTTAAACGTCAATTAGTTGGCAGTTAGTTTTGTTGTCTGTTGAAACCTGAACCTTTTTTTTGCAATTGTGAATGCACGAAATTTAGTTTCTTTTACCTGTTTTTTTTTTGTAAGTTTTATAAAAATGCCATTTTTATTCTCCAATCAAGAGTTAGCGGATATTTATTTTGTGTATGGCTTTGTAAATGGAAACGCAGCAGAAGCAGCCAGAGAATACGCACGAAGATTTCCAAACAGACGACATCCAACTCGCTCAGTATTTGTAAGAGTGCATCGCCAAATAATTGAAAATGGTTTTGGAAATCTCCAAAGGGATCAAAACATAAATGTTCGTCACCGCAGATTTACCCGTATGATTCTGCGTGAGTTTGATAGAGATCCGACGACAAGTGTTAGGAGAGTTTCTGGTGCCTTGGGAATTTCAGCAAGCCATGTTCACCGTGTTCTTAGAAATGACCATAGACGTCCTTACCATTTGCAACCTGTGCAAGGACTACAGCCAGGGGACGGGGAACGAAGGATCACATTTTGTCAGTAGATTCTTGATAGAACTGATAATAATAGGGAGTTTTTAAGTAACGTTTTATGGACCGATGAGTCATGCTTCACTAGACGTGGAGTGGTAAATTTTCATAATCAACATATTAGGTCGCATGAAAATCCGCATGCAGTTCGGGAAAGAAATGTTCAGCATGAATTTAGTGTGAACGTGTGGATTGGTATCTACCGTAATCGACTATTTGGACCCTACCTTTTGCCTGCAAGGTTAAATGCTGCGACCTTCTTGGAATTTTTAAAGGCTGGACATGCAAATATGTGGGATGATGTTATGTTAGATTCAAGAAGATTGGCCTCGTTGCAGCTTGATGGTTGTCCAGCTCATTATTCGACAATAGTTAGAAACTGGCTGGACGAAAATTATCCAGAAAGATGGATCGGCCGTGGAGGACCAGTCACCTGGCCTCCACGATCCCCTGACCTAAATCCATTAGATTTCTTTGTGTGGGGATTTCTAAAAGAAAAAGTGTACCAGACTCCCATAACCACGAGAGATATGCTAATAGACAGAATCAGGAATGCATGTGATGAAATAAGGCCTTATTTGAATAATGTTATACCACGTTCGATCATTCGTAGATGTGAATTGTGTACTGAACAATTGAGTTTACATTTCGAGCAACTAATTTAGATTTTGTATGTTTCTCCTAACTATCCAATAGCAGTTTAGGTGTAAATAATTAATTTAATCTGTTAAAAATAATATTGGAAAATTAAACAAATTAATATTCTGTTTCTTTGTGTTTATTTGGAGTTAGGAATTATTGCTGTGTTTAAAAACACAATCTAAACGATCATCTTAATTACTTGTAATGCCCAAATCGAAAATGTAAAAAAAATATTATTTTCCCATAAATAATTAAAAATGCATCGAACCTTAAAAATCGAAATATCTCAAAAACGGCTAACTATAACGAAAACTCACAGGAGAGCTTTTTTATGCAGAAAAGTGCGAAGAATCAGGTTTTTTGTTCAAAAAGCAAAAAATTGCACTAAGAAAAAATTTTCAGTCATTTTAATACACTACAGGTACAGTAGAGAGCGCCCTCTAGCGGCTACAGTAAAACTATGCCCGTGGTTCGTTTTGTCGTACCAAGAAACCCTTGTATACCAATTTTCACTGTTACACATCAAATATTGTTCGAAATATTTAAAAAAACTATTTTAGAAAGTAAATTTACACGTATTTCGGAAGCCGCGCATTTTTCGACCCATGTTTATATAGACTTTATGCATTAATTTTAAAAGTTCTATCGAATCTTAAAGTTATGCAACAATAAACTGAAACACCCTGTATATTTTACGAGTATTTAGTAAGAAAGGAAGTAATTTTTAACTGTACACGTTTTGAATTGTTCCTATTTTTGGCAGCAATATCCCTTCAAGGTTTGATAAGTAGCACATCAGCTGCTGTCGCATTTTCTTGTTGTTCGGCGTAAGTCAACGCCTTTTGTAGAGCTTCTGATCCCTCAGAATATGATATTTTGGCAGAGATTTATATCTCATTGTCACTAGCATCCCTTAAAGCTGTCTCGTCATCATTGTTACAATCATTTTTTATTAGTTTTGTATCAGTAAATTCTTCCTCCAATTCATCACCATTAATCCACTCACCAACATCTGGTTGGGTAAGATTTTCACATCCTGCTATTTTTACGACGAGCTCATGTAAATTTTCGTAGTTCTTCTCAAAGTCTGCGCAATGTTACAGTTCTTGCTTAATTATTGTCGACCAATAAGTAGAATTTTTTAGTTGGCTCCATGCTTCTGCTATCCAATATGCCACATTTTTGAGGTTAATCTCAAACGCGTTTTAAATTTTCTAAAACTCCTTGATCAATTGGCTGAATCAGTGACGTTACATTAGTAGGCAAAAACTCGTAGGTATATCTCCACTTTTAAGTTGCTCCTCACTTGTGTGGCTCGGAGCATTGTCTAATAGCAAAATACATTTTCTCGTATATCCGCGTTCATTTAACAGGTGGGCTGAAAAGTCCGTATCGTTTCTATGAGATGGCGCCACCAGAATAAAATCCATACGCTTCTTAGCTAGTACCAACCTTCAAAAGATGCCTGTCAAAATTTGACAGCTGTCGGATCATTAGTTTTTAATCAAATTCAAGCGAATAACCAAATTGAAATGGTATTTACCATTTTGGATTGGTATTTACCGATCCGTTCAAGCCAGTGTGGTTATCAGTTTGGTTATAAGATCCGTGACGTCATGAATCAGCTGTTATATGTCATAGTTATCACCGCAAAATTGTGGTATTTACCCAACTCGGGAGTAGTTTTATATTTCTGGTTATTATTTGACATGTGACAAGTTAGAATTTTGTCGGGTATTGGATATTTTTATTGTACTTCAGCTTCGTTTTTGGGAAACTTGATGCAGGCTGACTTCAGTTTTAGCATAAGAGAGCACCTTATTATTTATAACCATTACTGTTGTTGGGTACACTTTAAATCCAGTTCCTACGCTTAACAAAGTATCCTGTATAGCCATATACCACAAGAATATTAAAATATGGCTGTATAAACTCACTGGATGATGTCCACCTGAATACGGTTTTGTTAATATCTTTTTTTCATCGCTTTTTCATCATTTCTGCTAAATCAATAAATATTTTCTTTGACATGCGGAAAAGTTTAGAGAATTGAAATTTATCATAGCTACAAAGCCATGGTTCCATCAGTAAAAAAAATTTTCTGAAAAAAAAACTTTCCTCCCATTAATATTATGAAAGTTTTCTTTTTTTCAACTTTCCATACCCCGTTGTGGACGAAAAAGCACCGATTATTAAGTGATAATAAAAATAATCAGAAATTATATACGCGCTTTTCTAAAATAAACAACTTGCAACAAACCGCGGTTAAAACCAACGCGTTCAAGCGATTCGAGTATCTGACGTCATCATCCCGTGTGTCATCTTGAACCATATTATAACCGCGGTACATAATACGGAAATTTTGGTTATCCGCTTGGATTTGATTTTTGAGTTATCGTATCGAGAGTGACGCTACTTTTGTTATTTTTGAAAACCATGGAAAGTCAAGAGTTTCGTATGTTAATGAAACATTATTTTTTGATGAAAAAAAGTGCCGTCGAATGCAAGAAATGGCTTGATGAGTGTTATCCGGACTCTGCCCCGGGCGAAGCAACCATTCGCAAGTGGTTTGATAAATTTCGTACCGGTCACATGTCAACTGAAGACGACGCACGCAGTGGACGCCCAAAAGAGGTCGTTACGGACGAAAACGTGAAAAAAATCCACAAAATAATTTTGGGAGACCGCAAAATACGGTTGATTGACATAGCTGAGGCCTTAAACATATCAAAAGAACGTGTCAGTCACATCATTCATGAATATTTGGATATGCGAAAGCTCTGTGCGAAATGGGTGCCGCGCAATCTCACATTTGACCAAAAGCAACAACGCATCGACGACTCTGAGGCCTGTTTGGAGGTGATTTTGCGCAATAAAACCGATTTTTTTCGCCGATACGTCACCATGGATGAAACATGGCTCCACCACTACACACCGGAGTCAAATCGCCAGTCGGCCGAGTGGACGGCTGCATCCGAACCACCTCCGAAACGTGGAAAGACGCAACAGTCAGCAGGCAAGGTTATGGCCTCTGTTTTCTGGGACGTGCAAGGAATTATTTTCATCGACTATCTTCAAAAGGGCCAAACTATCAACAGCGACTATTATATAGTGTTACTGGAGCGTTTGAAGGCCGAAATCGCCAAGAAACGGCCACAAATGAAGAAAAAAAAAATCTTGTTTCACCAGGACAATGCGCCGTGCCACAAGTCCATGAAAACGATGTCGAAATTGCATGAATTGGGCTTCGATTTGCTCCCCCATCCACCGTATTCTCCGGACCTTGCTCCAAGCGACTATTTCCTCTTCTCAGACCTTAAGAGAATGCTCACCGGAAAAAAATTTCACAGCAACGAAGAAATCATCGCCGAAACTGAAGCCTATTTTGAGGACAAGCCGAAGGATTACTACCGGAAGGGTATCGAAAAACTTGAAGAACGTTATAATCGCTGTATAGCCCTTGAAGGCAACTATGTTGAATAATAAAAGCGAATTTTGACGAAAAAAATATTTTTTCATTGAAACGATACGGAATTTTCAGCCCACCTGTTAAATACCGTTTCTGGCTTGGGAACAAAATGACTGTAAAACCAGCCCTTAAATAGAGCGGCATCCATCCAAGCGTTTTTTTTATTTTTATACCACACTGGAAGAGCGTTGGGACGGACATGTTTTATGCTCTTGGTTTAGCTGATTTTCCGAAAGGAAGTTTTTGTGTACTGGAAACATTGCTACAAGCAAGGATAGTCACACGTTCTTTACTGCGTTTGTAACCAGGAGCTCCAGATTCTTGTTTTGAAGCTAAACGTTTCGCCGGTAACATTTTATAGTTTAGGCCCGTTTCGTCGCAGTTGTAAATTTGTTCTGGATTTGAACCATCATTAATTCTTTGAAATGTTCTCCAAATTTTAATGCAGCGGACTTATCGGCAGATAACTTTTCTCCGCAAACGTTTAATTCTCGTATACCGTATCGCTTTTTTCATCTACGATATGCAGCCAACCATCACTGGCTGTAAAGATACCAGGCGCCTCAATAACTGGCAATTCTTCACTTAAGTTGACTGCCTTTTGCTTAAGAATTGGTCCGGAAATTGGTATACCACGTTCTCGATTCTGTGTAAACCACAGATATAAGGCATCATCCACTTTTTGATACTCCCCCTTTTTCATAGTTTTCCGTGACGGCTGCGATTATGTTATAACTATAGACCAATTTTCTCGCGTTGTTTTTTCCATTCTGAAATGGTACTCACGCCCACACCCAAATCACTTGCCACGATTTTAAGCAAATCACCTCTATATAAACGTCTAATTGCCTCAAGTTTCTGTTCAATGGTAATAACAACGCGTTTACGTTTATTTCTATGCTGCTCCATTTGAGCGATTATGAACCTGGCTGAAACAAACATACACGCACACATACCAGTGAATTCCGCAAACGCGCTTGGGGAATCACCAGCAGCGAATCTAATGACGCAAACGCCGAAAGTAGAATTACCGGCGTCCTTTCGGATCATACGCAGATTTCCCGAACAACTTCGGTTAAAACGGAGAAATTATTGTATGCAATATGTTTCGTATAAAGCGGATTTCGGATAATGGCGATTCGGATAATCGGGGTTCTACTGTAATTGGTATTACACGAGCTCGTTCGTATTTCCACATTTTATTTGCTTCAAAACAGACTATTTCTTCGACATATATCTCATCCAACTCCAACTTTTAATATGTAATTGTGATAGTTGCAGCTCTCCATATATCAGCCAGTTGTACGACGCTTGGTTGTTGATAGTTTTATGCTCAACACAATGGAGAAATCTTCGATGGAAGGCTCTTTCTCTCCACCGGGATAGTTTCACTGCATCCTCTTCTATGTTCAAATACCGCTTAGAAAGTTTCGAAATTCAAAGTACTTGCGGAGAGAGACCTAAAAAAAACAAATTTTCCCAATATCGTTTTAATTTTTCCCTGACTTTATTTGTAGTGGGATGTTAAAATAAAATTCTCTTGCCCCCCAGCCTCAAATTTATTTTTTCTTATAGACGCCATATTGGATTTCTCCCCAGATAAATAGAGTTTTTAATTCCGATTCAAAAAAATCTATAATATATCGTACATTGCATATGCCAACCCTCAGTTATTACAGAAAAACAGAATTTTTTAGGTAGTCGTTGAAAATATCGTAGTAATTTGTATCGTACACCAATTGAACATAGTAACAGAGTTTGGAAGACTGAGAATAAGAGAAATAAATCGAACAGTGAACAATGTGCAGAGAAGAAGGCTTTGCCTACAAAATTACGGACAACATATTGAACATCTGCTATCGTTTACCTCTATTTATGATTATTACAGTTATTATCAACAATAAAATGTTCATTTTATGTTCAACATACATCTTTATTTCCTTATAATTTCCTTCCCGACAACAAATTTATGTCCAACAAAGGAAATGATACGGTTTTCAATGGTTGGCACCACAAACTATAACTCCTATAGCATGATGAGACGTTCAACTGCAAACTTTACATCGTGCCTTTCTCTGAGACTGCTCCTGGTTTATGCCAGTCCATCATGCATCACTACAACAGAATTGAGACCAAGAAAATTTTGATGTTCAATGGCATAACAAACATTGTTTTAGTGATGATCTTACCTCTGTTTTGAAATGCGTGATAGACAGGTCAGACGAGTCAGAAGGCGTCGCGGAGTAAGAACTAATGTGCAACTCCCCCGACTATACGAATGTATATGGCATTGGGGTGGCCCAACACATTATTAGGGAAGTCAAGCAATACACCAAATGTTTTCACTTAAAAATTGAACCACTATCTCTTGATTATAACTAACTGTGCACAATATTTCGCTGAGAATAAAAGACCCGGCAACACGTCTATGGGAAAAGTGGTTTTGATTAATTTCGCTGAATTTTTAATATGTTACGCGTCGTGGCATATAATGGATTATCGGCCCTCTCAATATCTGGTTACGTTAATTTTGTTGGATTTATTATCTGTTATGTGTCTCGTCGTCCTGAATAAATGTCTCGATGGACATAGGCCCCAAAACTCGACGGGTCATTTATTTTGGACGCCATATGAGTAATTCAGCGAAATTGACCGAAACCACTCTTCCATTTAAAGCATTGATTCCCAAAGTGATCTATATCGACCCCTAGGGGTCTATGACAACCTGCAAGGGGTCTATGTCAGCGAAAAAAAATTTGGGGGTCCATGAAATGAATATGGGGGTCCACGATAGTGGATCTCAACACATACTCTGATAGTACCTATTTACTTACATCATACTATCTTATAATATCAAAACATATACATTATTTATAAAAGTACCTATGAAGTAAAAAATTTATTATATATGTTTATAAAATTGTGTAAGTTGTAGGATGTTGGTATTCGCTTTGTGGTCGCAATACATTTTAAACTTGTAAAAACCTGATAGTCGCAGTCTCAGAGCTTCGCTACCTTGCACTGACTTGTTCAAGTCGTCACTCTATAAATACGAATGTGGGGCAAATACGTTTATTCGTTTCCTGAATCTTGAAAAGGAAAGTGCTAAGAAAATATTTTAAAAAATATAAACAGATAGTATATCACACAAATTATAGTGAGTCAGTGTTATTTTGTTTGAGAGTGATGGAGAAAAGTAAGTACATTATTTTTTATTAAATTTTAGTTTCGTACTCGTAGTTAGCAAAGATAGATAAATCACGCCAATCATGACTTTAGTTATTAGTAGTTAAATATTCAATCATGCAAAATTACACGAGTACTCCTCAATAGTTTCTTTTTGAAAGTTTTAGCAATCGATAATATAATTACAGTGCAATCTCCGTAATTCGAGCTAATTGTTGCAAGAAGATGTTCGAATTATGGAATGTTTTCGGAAAAATCAAAAAATATTGTTAATATACAGCTGCTGGATTTTCTGTCTTATTTAAATAATTTAATTTTGCCCACAGATGACTGATGCCATGTCCGAATCTAAAAAGAAATGTAGACAGTACAGTGTTGATTATTTGAAATTTGGCTTCATTCCATCATTGCCGGACAAACAATCGCCTATGAGCCTTTAATGCAACAAAGTTTTGGGCAATGACGCTATGAAACCATCTAAACTGCAAGATCATCTGAGAAGAAGCCACCCTGATAAAACAGAGAAAGATTTGAAATACTTTCAAACACTCAAAGATAAATTTCAGAAGAGACCTACACTGGACAGAATGTTCGCTTCGACGTCACAAAGAAATGATGATGGTTTGCGGGCGTCTTACAATATCTCGTTACTTATAGCAAAATTCGGAAAACCGCATACTATCGGAGAGAAGTTAATTTTGCCAGCCGTTGAAGAGGTTTTAAAAACTGTTTTACACAAACCTGCATCGGATATCATTCAAAGAATTCCCTTAAGCAACAATACTGTTGAAAGACGTATTGATGAAATGAGTTCTGTTATTGAAAGCTTCTTATGTAATTATTTGCAAACGACCCATTTCTCTATACAACTGGACGAGTCAACTTTACCTGATAATGCAGCATTATTATTGGCATATGTTCGTTTTATTATGAATCAAGAAATCTACGAAGAACTGCTCTTCGCAAGAACTTTGATAACCGACACTAAAGGTGAATCAATATTTCATGTTTTGAAGGATTACTTCATTGAAAAAGCAATTCCTTTATCAAATATAATATCAGTAGCTACAGATGGAGCACCTGCCCTGGTTGGACGTTATCGTGGGCTTATAAGCTATTTAAAACAAAATGTGTCAGGGGTGTTAGCAATACATTGCGTCATCCATCGACAACATTTTAAAAGAAAATTTAATGAAGAGGAAAACAGACATCGCCTATTTAACAATTTGTTTACAAAATTTAATATGGTTAATTTGCAATTACAAGGCGACAATTTAAATTTGATTAAAACAAAGGCCATCTTATTAGCGTTTCTTGCCAGAGCTAAACTAATGAAGCAAAATATTGGACGGGGCGAATTTTCTCAGTTCGCCAATTTGTCACAGACAAGCTGCCAGGAAGACGACGTTTCAACTTACGTTCAACATTTAAATGCCCTCTATTCAGATTTTGAATCCAGGTTTGAGGATATTTTGACTATGGTAATACCACCGTGGATAATTAATCCATATGGAGACATAGAAGAAACGAATGTCATAATACAAGAGGAACTGACTGAACTAAGTACAAACGAAGAACTTAAGGTTCAGTTTAAAAACGGATATCAGCAATTCTGGCTGCAAAACAACATACCCGTTACTTATCCCGTATTATGGAATATAGCGAGGAAATTTTTAATTTCCTTTCCATCGTCATACCTAGTGGAAAGGGGGTTCAGCGCTGTTTCCAATCTCCTAACGAAAAAAAGAAACAGACTGGACATCATTAGCCGAGAAGATTTAAGATTAACCCTTACAAAATTGACGCCAAATGTTGATAATTTCTTATTAAAGCATCAGGTTCATCCTTCTCACTAAAAATATTGACTTATTGCTTATCATATTTTATTTATAGTTTATTTTATGTTTATTGGTGTCTGACCAATAAACGCCCGCATTGGGAATAAGTGCACGCATTGATTTTTTTAAAGAACCCCCCTTTATAGAAAATATTTTTTTTAAATTATTCTGAAAATTCAAGGATAGGTACACACTAAAATTCGTTAATTTTTTGCCTATTTTTAGATAACTTAAACGTATAAGAAGCGGAATTTAATCAAACCAACAGTGAAATTATTGTAGAACATACGTTTATGTTATAATTAATAAACGAACTCGCTTATTGTACTATTTTAAATAAAAAACTTCTTTTTTTATTTTTCATTTTTTTTTATTTCATCCCTCTTATTTTTTTTCAATGCGGGCACTTATTCCCAATGCGGGCACTTATTGGACTGACACCTATTTATTTAATGTTACGTATATTTTACATAACAGATACAAAATTTTATTTTGAGTAGTTTTAATTTAAATTCAATTAATGAATGTATAAATTAACATGTTTTTACTTTAAGTTTTTAACAGTAAACTTCACTACAGTTAGAAATTTACAGGAAATCAATATCAGGTAAGTTGGGGGTCTACCCAACACGGAAAAACATGGCAAGGGGTCTACGACATAAAAAAGTTTGGGGAACTCTGATTTAAAGCATATATTTGAGTAGAACCCCATTATACCAACTTGTATGGAGTATATCTTGGGACCCGTTGAGGTTGGGGGCCTGTGCCCATTGAAACATTTGTTTTTTTTATATATACTCCAACCTCCATGAAGGCCTAAGGCCTAAACACCCATGGGGTATAGCATATAAAAAATTCAGCGAAATTAACCGAAACCACTGTTCCGATAGGCCTTTGAAATAAGAGCCCAAAGTTAAAGCTTTAGTAGTTATTGATATAAAAAAATCAGTTAATAAGGCTGCTCAACAGATTGCTAATTACTTTAACTGTTTGATTATGGTCTTTTTTGAAAGTCGTCGTAACCTCTGCAGCAAAATGAACACATACTAACATGTAATGTCTCAGGTCTTTTCATCCGTTCCAAAAAGCGATTTTTCAACTTTACGTTTAATAAAATAGTTACGTAGTGAAATTGATATTTATAGTATCAGGGGTATGCTTCCGTAAATCTATACAGGGTGACTTCGAAGTTGAGTCATTTATTTTAACAGTGAGTAGATCTGATCAAAAGAAATGTTTTTTTCCTTTAACATTTTTGTGGTAAAATTAAAGTAACAAAGTTATAGCCCTTTAGAAGTTTGAGTACCGCCCTGTCTCAATAATAATATTATGTGCTCGTGTTTGGCGACAACGGATATACTCCGCCTTATCGGTTCATCGCATCGGAAACAAAAAAGCGAAATAATTTGAAACGCTGATCACGATGTTTTTATTCCGTCTGTGTCAGTCGGTAAAAATAGTGATGTTTGCTGCGTGGCTCAAACGAAATAAAAAATGGCACATATTTCTGCGGATCGGTTTCCCAATCGAGTGCAACCAACCCCTCGTGCCTTTGTTAATGTAGTACAACGGGCTCGTGAATCAGGTGACTTAAGACCTCACAGGGGACTGCATGCCGGTGCTCCAAGACCTCACGATCAAATACAGGTCCGCACTGAAATACTTGTCGGGAGGATACTTTATAAAACAAGGTAAACAATTTTTTTTAATTTTTTTTTATTTTTACACACATATTTTGGTTTATCTTCCTTCTACAATCATTATCTGAAAATTAATGACTCAACTTCAAAGTCACCCTGTATATATATTTTTTTTAAAAAAATTGGGTCATTATTATCTAGTAATCATGATCTATACAAGGTGTTAGGGAAATAATATTCGCAACTTTAGTAGGTGATTCCTTGCATTATTCTGAGCAACAAAGTTCATTATGTCCGAAAATCAACTGTTTCGGAGCAAAAAAATGCTGAACTTATTTCGTTTTAGTCATGAAATAAATTAATTTTGCACCCTAAAAATTAGTATTCTAGTATTCTATAATTCAGGGCTTATTTTCAACAAAAATATTATTCAGACGTAAACAATTAGATGAATCAGTTGTGGTATCGCGGTTGCGTTGCGGCGTTGCCAAATGTTTGAGAAAATTTAATTATTTACGACTCGCTTTCCTCGAAATACAGAAGAAGAACAGTAGTTTTATGAAATGCCAAAATTTAACAATATCCAAAGAACAAATTTATCCTTAAAAATTCAACACCCTTTAGTGAAAATGTAGCCATTTGTTCATAAAAACTTTTCTTCATAAAATCATTTGAATTATATCCTGGAATTCTATCTAGCACGTCTCTATGGAACACCCTGTATACGTTATATATTAAAAAATCGATTTGGAAATTTATCTTGACGTAGCGTGAAAATATAAGAACAATTTCCCTGATGCTCAATTTTTGAACTCAAAATACGGGGAAAGATTTATAACCATAGTAATACCATCCTAGTTATCATAAAAATTCCGCATTTTTCCAGTACCAATATGGATTCAAGCAGCGCCGCAAGTACTTCCCAAATGGATCTAAGTCCTACGAGTACTTCCCGAACTGTACACGATGTGGCTGTAGATAATGAAATTTCAAGTACTACTCCCACGGAACTAGACAGAAGTGAGCATAACCTAGATGAAACGGAGTCAGTACTGTACGACAGGTTTTTAGAACTTTCCATCGATCCATATAACCAAACTGGTTCTTCCCAACACATACCAGTGTATAACTTCGATATCCAGCATAATAGTGCTCATCAAACAGAAACAGTGACAGTGATTGGTTTGGACGATAACAGCACAAGCGGATCTGAAACGGATATAGAGATCCCTACGATTAACCAGCGCACAATTGCTTCTCAAACTGAACCACAGATCACTTCGGAAACTGCTGATGGCAGTGAATTAGAGCTAAACACATACCAGAGATTCTTGCAACTACTGGAGTGTCCAGTTTGCTACAACTACATGTCGCCTCCGTTTGGGCAGTGTTCTCATGGGCATGTCATATGCCCTAGGTGTTATGATCTACTTTCAAGGTAACTATTTATTCTAGGAAGTATCTTCGCACTCACTTGGAAAATATTCTGATTCGGTTTTTTGTAGAATATTAGTCAAAAAGGACTTTTTTTCTTCAAACAATTTAAATAGATTCGAAAAAAAATTATTTTTCAATGCACAAAGGTTTTTTTGGGTTCTTTAGGTCATTAAATTTAATATTTGGAAAAGTCTAAAATGTACGCCCTTCTGCCCCAAAAGCAGTATGAATAAATCGCGTCAAGTAGATTCAGTCTATACTCCCACGCCTTCTAAACAACTATGTATTATACTACAATTTTCCATGTAGTACAATGCAAAAAGACGTAGGTTTTGACAAAACCATTAGTGCTCTATTTGGGCTTTTCATGAAAAAAAATGGCGTCAAGTGGGTTAACTCTACTTTTTCTACGCAACGCCGTCAGTTCATAAATGATCAAGTTTAGCGCAATTCAAATCCTCTGAGGAAATAGTGAGTTACGGACATGTACAACAGAGAAATTAAACGTATTAAGTCAGTCAAACAGGTGCATACAATTATTGCATAGACATTATTTCCCTGTCCTACCAGTTGTTATCGTCCATGTGCCAACGTTGCCCCTTTCCACATCTCCACGGCATCGCTGCAGCGAGTTATCATTCGTTTCGTGTAAGGTTCGTCTATACAGGGTGGCCAAACACGTGACGTCATAAAAAAAAATTAGATTCACCACATCGAGAGGAACCCAAATCACCCCCATATATATGGTCCGATTTTGTTTAGTTTAGGAGTTATGATTTTTTTTCGGATTTTTCGAGAATTTTTGAGTTCTGTGTTTATTTTTACCATAACTTCGTTAATAATTGTGATAAATGCCTGCTTTTTTCACGATTATGTAGCTAAGACCTAAGGCTTAACTATCATATAATCATTCAAGTCATGTAACTAATACTACTTTTTAATTTTTTTCAAAATCTTCGAACATAACAAAAAAGTAAAAAAGTGCAACAACTTTGAACGTTTATAAAAAATTGAAAAAACATGTTCTTACTATTCGTAAGTATCTTAAAAACTTCCTTACGGTATCAGCTATTTACCGTAAAAATTTCATCAACCTAGCTTTACTGCATGCTACCGTAATTGTGGCTCAAATAGAACCGAACCCAAAATTGGATAACCCTCTGCTCAATAGAAATTGTTAGTTTCGGAAAAAAAATTTGCAAAAACCACAAAAACACGTTTGATTTTTACTGAACAGCAGATTATTATTCATTTATGTTATTTACAAGAGGTTTTCAAAATGTCTGCCTCTAACAGAAATGCACAGTGTACACCTACGTATGAAATTTTGTTTTAAATCTCTAAATGCTTGTGTGTTGTTTTTCAACACATGTGTCGCTTCTTGAATTTTGTTCCTCAATGAATTTTCATTTGCACATTCTTGGGCGAATGTTATGTCTTTAAAATATCCCCAAACAAAAAAATCAATGGGGTTGAGGTCAGGGGAGCGTGGAGGCCATCGTATCGGTCCGTTTCGTCCGATCCATCTGTCTGGGAACCTTTCGTTTAAGTAGTTTCGCACGATCGTTGCGTTGTGGCATGGTGCACCATCATTCTGGAACACCATGTTCCGTCTGGCTTCCAGGCTTGAATCTTCCAGCAATAATGGTAGGCTATTTTCAAGGAAGCTTTTGTAGGCTACCGAATCCAACCTTGACGGCAGTTCAAATGGACCGATAAATTCCATATTGAATATTCCTGACCACATGTTCACACTAAAACGGTGTTGAAATGTCGACGGCCTTGACTGGTGGGGGTTTTCAACAGCCCAAGTATGTAAATTATGGATATTGAATATCCCTGTTCTTTCAAAACGTGACTCGTCAGTCCATAAAATTTTATCAAAAAAATCGGGATCCTCTCGTTGTCTTCGCAGCATTGTCTCGCAGAAATCCACTCTTAACTGGTAATCTGAAGGCATCAACGCTTGAACTCTTTGAACATGATAGGCATGATAACCTTCTTCATGAAGAATATTTTGTATTGATGTTCGTGGTATTCTAAGGTTTTGTGCGGTTCTATTTGAGCCACAATTACGGTAGCATGTAGTAAAGCTAGGTTGATGAAATTTTTACGGTAAATAACTGATACCGTAAGGAAGTTTTTAAGATACTTACGAATAGTAAGAACATGTTTTTTCAATTTTTTATAAACGTTCAAAGTTGTTGCACTTTTTTACTTTTTTGTTATGTTTGAAGATTTTGAAAAAAATTAAAAAGTAGTATTAGTTACATGACTTAAATGATTATATGATAGTTAAGCCTTAGGTCTTAGCTACATAATCGTGAAAAAAGCAGGCATTTATCACAATTATTAACGAAGTTATGGTAAAAATAAACACAGAACTCAAAAATTCTAAAAATCCGAAAAAAAATCATAACTCCTAAACTAAACAAAATCGGACCATATATATGGGGGTGATTTGGGTTCCTCTCGATGTGGGGAATCTAATTTTTTTTTTATGACGTCACGTGTTTGGCCACCCTGTATGTGTTTTGTCGTTTCGTGCTTCAGTACGGATAGATATATAAGCCGGACCAGTTCGCCAGGCGATCGACTTAGATAGGGAGGAGTACTCAGATTGAAAACATTTCTCTATCACTCCAAAAAGTCAAATGTACGGGTAAATCTATGACGTTTTAAATATGTCAAATAGGTGCGTAGAATAACCGACGCTGGAAGCGAATAAATATAATAAGATCAAAAAAAGAATTCATATACCCTACTTCACTCGCTACATCCCCCAACCTCCAAAGTTCAAATCCTACATTAATTTTTTTGGAAATGAGCAGGACCGTCTAAAATGTGAAAAAAACGAAGTTTGGGCGATTGCTTTTTTCGTTTTTGGTCTTTTTCTCCCGCCTCTGGACCAGTTTTCAAAAACTACAACACTTTTGCGTCCTTGGCATAGTAGTAACTTTGAATTCTGAGCGGTACTCTCAAGTTATAGGCGGTTATAAGATCAGCAGTCAGCCCGCGACACACAGACAGATTGACAGAAATCATTGACATGATTTTTCGTGATGTCATGTAACACTCAAAAAACACATTACCTCATTTTCGAAAATTTTCGCGATTATGCTAGTAGACGTGGGAAGTAAAAATGTTGCCAAATTTCCTGAATATTCTTGAAAGATCCAATAACAATATTCCAAATCATTTTGGGGAGTACTGTTATTCTATACCTTTTTTTAATTGTTAACCAAGCGCGCGTATATATATTGAGCCCATTGTGCAAAATCTTGTATGAAGGGTGCAGAATTAAGTAATAAAACTTTGAATAAATACAATAAAAAAATAATAATGAGATCAAATGAAAGTTAAAATTAAATTACTTTTGATAACATTTTGCCATCACAATGGCAAGTGCTTTTTTCGCTACTGTTTCATTTTATTCATGAATGGATCTGTAAAAGTTATCAAAATGTTCATCATATCCTCGTGGGTGCTCAATCGGGAACATTTTCTTGAATAACATAACCTGTAATACGTAGAATGGGAAAATTACTGCTGAGTTTTTTTTAACGGGGGTGAAATCGTCCACTCAGAAATCGTTCCTACACGACTCACTGTCAGCCAAGTTATGTATAAAGGCATCATTGGAAGGCTCAGAAAAAATGGCCTCAAGTAGGCTAAAGGATTAAGTTTAGCACAAGCACAAGTTAAACTTCTTAATAAAAGAATAGTTACGAACATGTACAATAGAGAAATTAAATGGATCTAATCAGTCAAATAGACCCACACAATTAGTCTATAGATGTTCTTCATCTGCCCTACCAGTAGTTACCGTCCCTCTGGCAACGTTGCCTCTTCTCAAATCGTCAGTAAGAGCAGAACAATCAGAAGGAGACGCGCGTCGAAAGTTTTAGAGACAATTGTACTGGAAAACATAACGTATAATGTGTAAAATATGGTTAATAGATGTGTAGAATTCCTGTAGGCTCTCTTGCAGTTAGCCTTCCAACGGGTCTTGAGTATATGCGTGAGCAAGTCAGGCCTGTCTGTAACTCAGAGTCTGTTGTAGGATGGGGTGAGAGGTGGTCTTCTATCCTTCATTGTATAGGCGAATCCAGCTCCTGGCCGGTTGTGAGTCTCTTCTTTGGCCGCCATCATATATTGCAAGAAGTACTTTTGGTCCAAAAGCAAATTGGCTTGGATGTTGGCAATCTTGATGAAAATGACAAAAGCTGCACGTATACCAATCCGTCATGTCTAGAAACCCCTGTGGATGTTTGGAGGGGCATCTCTTGTGATGATTTTGTAGGTCTTTGATGGTAGTGAAGTTACGACCCCACAAGTTCACAAGTGTTTATTTATTCTGTTGATCTCACAGAGATATAGGACAAGTCATACTTGTATTAGAAAAAGACAAAAAGCAAAAAAGAAGAGAAGGAACAAGCTATCGAACCTGCCCGGGAGTTGCAATGTCTAAAGAGGGATAAACTTTTCAGTCACGGGAGTTGAGGTAGAGAGTTGTACCTCTTTCAACGTGGAGAGAATGACCCAAGGATCGTCACTTATTACAGAGTTGCTCCTCAGGTACTTCTCAGGACTTCTGACTGTTTGATGACTGTCAAATTAGTCAGCAGATGATTTGCCAGTAAATTGTCAGAGCTCGAAATCAAGTACGATCATTATTCGAATGTAAAAGTTTTCAGAATGAAGTAGACAATTTTGGAAAGGTTGGGGTATGTTCACTTGCTGTAAACCAGAATGATCTAGGATTTTTAGTCCAACTGCCTGAATGTGCCCTAATTTTCCTCTAGAGATGAAAACATGGACCCTTTCTAGTCAAAATAACAGCACCCAAAAATGTCAAGTAGATTTACTCAGTAATTCCCATTCAATTCCCATATAAAAAGTATAAACATAAATTCGAAGAAATATGATTCCTCACATCAAATGACAAGTTGAAGAAGTAAATACAAAGTAAGAATTCTGAATATACGTCTGCAGTAATTATGCATGAGAAATGTACAAAGTATTGTGAATGACTTTTATAAAACTCAGATAGTATTGTTTTTGTTCCCTTGTCGTCCAGCCTCGAAGTGTATGCACGAACAGTATTTATATATTTTAGCTATGTAAGTCCAGCCCAAGGCTGATGAAAAATAAAACAAAATAACGAATTCTGGAGATTTTGTGACACAGATACGGGTGCCCACGGAGAGGGAGTGGCCGACTGTTTCCCTATACAGGGTATTTTAATTTCGTGCCTCACCATTGGGATAGGGAAGTCGCTTAAATAGGGGAAAAGTTGCTTATTGAGATAATCAGCAAAATATCGCTCAGAAATTTTTGAAATTAATAGTACTTCCGGAAAGAAAAGTAAAAAACGAAATGCCCCAAAATGGTTTTAATTGTCTCCTGACATTATTTATGGTGGGATTTCAAAATAAATTGCACATCAACTCTGCCACATTTTCTCCTCTACAAGACGGCACGATTAGAATTTCAATATGACTTTTCGTCTCTTGTCCTCCAGCATCAACTTAATTTCTGCTTATAGACGCCATATTGGATTCTTACACACATGAATAGAATTTTCATGCTGATTGCAAAAATGTATACATTGACATTGCAAAACCTTAGTTATTCCAGAAGTTCCTAGGTAGGGCTTGAAATTATCAGATTTCATTTGTTTGCATAACAACAGAGTTTGGACGACTGTGAGAACCCCTGCTTATTTATGGTTATTATTGTTATTACCATCAATAAAATTTTCATTTCGTATTCATGGTCAACTAACGAAGTACATCACCGAATTTAGGGCTGTCCGTATGAAAAAACAAAATTGATGATGTCGAAAGAAGAAATGTCGAATTGAAAATTTGACTACGTCATCTTGTAGACGGGAATAAGTAACAATGAAAATATGCAATTTATTTTTAAATCCCATGTCAAATAAAGTCAGAAAAAAATAGAGCGGTTTTGGGATAAATTTGGTGAGCGAAACAAACATCTGCTAATTTCAAGGCATACCAAAGAAATTGTTTTTTTTAAAGTAACTAAGGTTTTTTGAATCAAAATTAAAAACTCTATTCATGTGTGCAAAATTGCAATATAGCGTCCTTAAGAATTAAAACATCAATATAAATAAAGTCTTAAATAAAATAAAACCATTTTAGGAAAATACTCTCCGGAAGTATGTACTTTGAATTTCGAAACTTTCTAAGTGTCATTTTGTTAACTTCAGAGCCTTCGTATCCCTTACAGTTTCCAAGATCCCAATGGTGAGTGCCAAATTAGAAACAGCCTGTATATGCAGACTATCACTATATGAAAGAAGTAAAAATACTACAAGGATTTAATAACGTCTTTGAACAATAGAGGGTGTTTGTTATACACTAAAAAGCTAAAACAGCTGAACATAACTACAATAATCAAGATCTGCTTACATAGCTATAAGTTTCACAGAAATCCCAACGTGGACAAAAAGAACTGAGACTACGAAAATACATAGAAGTAAGGCTTGAATCGCGTAATTTCGCATTTTATAACTGTAACAAAAATTTTCAAAAGATTAGTGATCACAAAAATCGTATTAATTATGGTTATGTCCTCTATTGTTCGGACTTTTCATACTGTATTTCATAGGTATTCATAATCTTCATTTTGCCATTACCGGGTCAATAAACAAAATATCGAGCACAAAGCACTTTTTCGCTGGCTGATATTTAAAATGGAATTTCATTAAAATTTCTTCTGCCACTTGCTCACCCGAAAATGTTACAAAAACTTGTTTCTGTTGAATTGTGGCACTGTTTTCTCTACAAAATTCAGGTTTTTGGGTTTCATTCTCTCCTCAGCAGATCTTCAAAGTCTTCATCTTCTTGGTATATCGCTCAGTTTTTTTACATCGAAGCAGCCGCGCAGGTGAACGCTACATGCTAGGGTAGCGCGGCTGCTTTGAGGAGCTTAAAGAAACTTTGTTATTCCTATTTTTGAACTGCCTAAAGTTATTAGAACTGGAAAAACCTCCTCATGTAGATTGATGCACAATCTGGATACCCTCGGGACAAAGGAGCGCTCTTATCGGCCAGTTCTAGATGTACGAAGTTCGCCTCGGTTACGATGGGAGGCCGAAGTCAGGCAGGCACATCGCGCGGCGATAACATGGAAGAAGGCTCTGAGGATCAAAGACCGTTGGCGTAGCTAGATTGCCAACAGCCCGTCGGTGTCCCCAGACCGTTCATTAGAGAAGAGTAATCGATCATTAAATGCCTCTTACGAAACAATTTTAGTCCTAAAGATAGTTTCGACACACTGTCACTGTCACTGGTTGACTGGTGTCCTCTGATCTGTCAGAAGGTTCTGTACGAACAGCGGATTAGCTCTCGGCAAACAGTCAGAAACTGTACGAACAGGTAACATCATCATCACTGGAAGTTCGCGGATTAGCTCTCGGCAAACAGTCAGAAACTGTACGAACAGGTAACATCATCATCACTGGAAGTTCGCAGATCATAAGAATGCAACACGGGGAGTTGGGAGGTGAAAAATCAGATTTCGGGAAAACTGTAGGGGGGAGTTCGTGGAGCCTTAATGAACTACAATTGATACCAAAAAAATGAAGTTAATTTTGAGCAGCAATCTGCGTAAGAAATAACCCGGAAATAAATGTCTTTCCCTTTCCGTAAGATCGTTCACCTTGTTTTGTCTTAAGAGGATGAAGTATTAATTAGGGTATTGACCTACTAACATCAAAAAATTGCGATACATCCTCGCCCACCCCCTTACAACCCCCACTCCCCAAATTTTTACCTCTACACTTTTTCAAATGGCAAAAAAGGAAGTTTGAGCGATTTTTATTGTTTTCGTTTTTGGCATTTTTCTCCGCCGTGACTTGACAAATAGTAACCTTGTGAGAAAATTTCGTCAAAATCCGAGCGGTACTTCTCAAGTTACAGACGGGCCAAGGATTAGCGGACAGACGGAAATGAGTGACATGGAACCAAACAATGATTTATTAAAATGTTTCAGATGTCCAATATGTAGAAGCCCAAAAATATCAGCCCATCCAGTTGTCATTGAGAGAATTTATGACGTTACGCCCTTGCCATGCAAGTTTGAACCCCGTGGATGTAAGCTTCTCATAAAAGGTACGTTTTGAGAAAACATAGCATATTGGCAGTTGTTTATTTATTTTATTGTATTCATTTATATACTCAGAAACCAATTTTGATACATAATAAATAAAATAAGAATGTATTTTTAAAAACAGGCTTTTATTTAGCTGTTAATGAAGTGAACTAAATATTTAAAGATAACTTATATTTATTCCGAAGTTAAATAAAAGCCTGTATAAATGCTTGAAAATATCTTAAAATTACCAAATGAGTTAACCTACTATTATATAAAATCTCTTTAAACTGCGCAAATTACAAAAGAACAAATTTACAGCATTTCTTGCACGTTCATAGTTGTTACATACTACATGTATCTGAGAAGAAAGCAGCGCATTGCTTCTACTACGTTAAGTAATTTATTTTGAATTAGATCGCGCTTTAGCGTAAGGTATGTACATGTCGTCGCTCCCCTTGCATAATGGCGTATCTCAAAAACTGTAACTTTTCAGGCGCATCCAAAGTTATGTTTTAAGTTTGGATTGGTGGTAGCCGGAACATATTCAAGTGAGCGGTGTAATTGTTGTTATGTGGTTAAGGTAGCCTATTTTTTATATGCTTCTTACTTCAGCATACTCATATTTTTTACCATTTTTTACTACTCTTACTTTGAATGAGATACGCCTCATTGTTAGAAGTTACTTTTTGCTACATAGCGAACAAACGAGACACAACTCATGTATTCAAGTGATATATTTTTGATCAGAATATATACGGTGTAAAGTTATTATACCTTAAACTAAAAGGATTTTTTCAGGTACATCAACCTTTCAACGAAAAACCCATATGTATCTTTATTACCAACATATATCAGGATTCAAATTATAACTAAATCAAAATCCATTGGACTAGTCTGACTGTAAAACTGTTAGTCTTTAGCTTATATATCTTTGACAAGTGTACATTTTGGAACAAAATTAGCATCCATTTATCAGATCAAACCAGAAATCGTTTACATCAACTTTTAAGGAAAACAATGTTCTCAACTCAACATTTTTTTAAAACTAAGTTGCCGAAAGACAAATTAGAACTTAATTAAAATCCTGTAACTATAATCTGAAAGGAAAACTGATATAAACATGTAAGATTCTAATCATTTTTTTTCATACTCTAGATTTTTATAAAATGACACATGCTCTGGATTTTTAACTCTGCTGCAACTGGTCCTTCACATAAAGAAACTAAATCAATATGTTTTACTAAACAGATTTTGCTTGGTGTCTTATTTAGTCGAGGTACACTGTTATCAAGCACCAAAATGCGATCGTTTCAAAGAGATTGATCGATACGTGGTCTACAGGTGACTTGTTTTAAAGTATATAATGTCAGGCGAATCTTTGGCTACTCTTAGTTCCATCATTTCTCTCCAGTTGATAGGATTTTGATTTTCATTATCTTTTCTGATGGTAAGAATACGTAATTCTTTGGCGACACTCTTGAAATTCAAAAATTGTTCATGATTCATTTCGGTAACTTCGTAGGGCTGTCTTCGTCTTGCCAGCTTAAATATGGGAAGTAATTGCGAAGGCACACAAATATTTCCACATTTTTTTAGTGCATAGCTTATGGCACTGTGAGCTGAGTCACCTTCATTTTGGCCATGATAGGATTCAAAAAATCTTAAAGATATTTCGGAGATATTTGAGCTATTCTTTATGAAGTAGACCATCATGGCTGCAATGACAGAATTCTTATTTTGTGCGTGACATCCATCTGCAAATAAACTAGCAACATTAGCTCCTTGCTTATCGCACTGCAATAGGAACTTATAAACACAAGTTGCTATTTCACTTGCTCCTCTTTTGCTGATACCCTCATGCCAAGTGTAGCAATAGCAGTTTTTTGAGGCTAGATTGTATATTGTGAAATTGAAATTCAGCAAACGATTTTTATAGAAAACTTTACTGTCGTTTAAAAAAGGCAAGTATATGACTTGCTGGAGGTCAAATACAGCACTAATATTTTGAGTACCTGTTTCTATAGCTTTGCTTTTACTTGCGTGTTTTATTTCACGTACTCTTTTTTTCTCTGAAATATGTTTATTGTACTTTTCCTCTAGAGTGATTTTGGTTTCATCATTGCCATTTCTGTAGGTAAGGCACAAGCTACATTGATCCTTTTTGGGATGGTGGAAGGACAGATTCAAAGTTTTGAATACACGAGCGTATGTACTCATGCTGGCCGTGTCTCTCCATTTATTTTCATCTCGGTATAGCTCATGCATTTTTTGTAAAGTTAAATCAGGATATAAATACTGCCGGGATGAATTCTCCCGATAGTAGTGCGATTCCATCTTAGGGAATCTATTAAAGTGTTCTAGAACGGAGTGCCTCAATTCTCTATCTTTATCTGACAAAGATTTGTACCTACCACCACGTCTTTCCTTCTCGATAACACCAGTTGCTGTAATTTTCGACAAAGACGTACGAACAATTTTTTCTGATATTGATAATGTATAGATGAAAAATTTTTTACACACCCTAACTTTGTTTCCGTTCAAGGATAGAAAGTACCGAAGACTTTTGCTTCTTCTGAAAGCCGTATTAGTTGTCCTTTGTTTGACTTCAACTAATTCGCAGTGGCGACCAATGAACTCCCTACGAAGCTGTAAATCACTGAGTGCATAGAATGTTGCAAATATGTCCGCTCTATTTTCTTCACTAAACGCATTGCACTGTTTTCCGTTTTTCACACATGTTTCACTTTCACATCTACCTAAAAGCTTCCGCGCTGGCACAATTTTCTTGCTGCTTATGCTGTAATATTCTTTGCCTAGGTTTCTCAGAGTTTTTGCAAGTTTCGACTGGTTCTGACGTTTCTGAACTGATGGTCTTGGCTCCTCTCTTGGGGCACCTTCAACGGCATACATTGTTGATATGGAGTCATTAACGTTCAGTGAAGCCGTTGGAAGTATGCTATCTTCATTTGCTCGATTTTTATGAGAAATACAGGATATTTTTTTTTATACTCCAACTGCCACGAAGGCCTAAGCACACATTGGGTACCGTGGGGCTATAGGGGGATACATGGGAAAAGGGGGGACGCCACACGGACTCTGGCGAGGGAACACGTGTGCATGCAACATGCACACATTCTGGCTCCGCCTACGAGAACCGCCGGGTGGTACCTCCGCGTTCGACAGTCAGAGACCATCTACCACCTACGGACAATCACAACATCCATAGCCAAGAGAAAAATTTCTCCTGGGACGGGACTCGAACCCGCACAGCGCGCGGCGACTGATCAGGAGACCGAAGAGTCTACTACTGCGGCCACCGCTGCTGCCTAAAACAAACACACAACATCCATGGCGAAGGCGAGATTCGAACTCGGGGCCCGGCCGGCCGGCTGATCAGTAGCACGACACTCTGACCCACGCGGCCAACCGAGGTGTGCCTTCACTTTGAAAATGGTCGAAGAACAGCAGACTAGAGCAGCGAAAACAGCTACTAAATACTTCTGCTTGACAGGAAGTAACCTCACAGGACTGTTCCACATACCTATCAACGTTCAGTGAAGTCACTGGAACTATGTTATCTTCATTTGCTCGATTTTTGTGAGAAATACAGGATATGTCTTCACTTTGAAAATGGTCGATGCACAGCAGAGTAGAGCAACGAAAACAACTACTAAGTACTTCTGCTTGACAGGAAATAACCTCGCAGGCCTGTTCCACATTACTATCTCGCTTGTTTGAGTCTTGATCTACAGGTGTATGAGTTTGATTTCTTACAGCCATATATTTTGACAGTGGCTCATCGTCACTCGAAATACTAACTACACGATATTTAGATAATGGTTCATTGTCACTCTCGGAAGTGGAAGTTGCTTCTGTGTCGATCACCAGACCATTACACCAAATACTGCCGTAGAGCATTTTAACCATTACGCCTTTACAAAACTTTTGCCCAGCTATAACAGGATTTCACCAATACATCCATCCCTTATACACGTTGGAACCTGCAAGTATTAAAGAAACATGCATGCATTTTGATGGAATATCACTAGAAATACAATGTGCCTTACCAGCTATCAACTCCTACACCAATACAACAAATACGAATAACTAAAACTAGTGGTATTCAACAGCGTATCAATACAACTACTTACAATTTTTAGGTTAGGTTAATACAATCCGTATGAGATGCTTCTGTGTCGACGCCATGGTCGGTATGACTTCGTCAAACAAACGGGCGCATCTCGACATACGCCTGTTTGACAGATTCTGTTTACGACAACTCCATTATACAAATTAGCATATCTCGGCATACGCCTTTATGTAAGGACAATTTTTGACTGAAAATGAGATACGTTTTCATGTAGCAGCGACTTATAGTGAAATCAGCGATACGTCCTTTTGTCACATGGTAAGCTGGAGCTATGTGATGCCGAATCCGTCAATATCTCAATTTAACGAAAAAATGAGATACGCCCTTATGCAAGGGGAGCGACGATGTGTACTAAATAGATATTCACAGTCTATCGCATTGTCAAGTAGCTTATATAAAAACACACAAGCATAGTTCCTCGGGCTTCTCCAAGTTACAGAGGTAATATGTGCTAAGTAATACATCATGCTTGAATCCAACTTCTGGATACATACCATCTGCTTTGTACTATTATTTGAGTTTATTATAGTGAACTTCATAGCAGTTATTCAGTTTTGGATCGAAAAAATTATACAACCCAAATCATCAAAACTCTTGGCATATGTTTAGTTGTGAATTAATTATCGCTGCTGTATCTGAATCTGATTGGAACGAGTTTTCGTGTAATAGACAGTGTGTAGCATGGCTTCGATTTCCCAAAAGATTTTCAAATCATCTGCATAGAGAAGACAGCTACCTAACGACGTCATCAATAAAAATTTGGAAAAGGAAGGGGCCAAGAGCAGATCCTTGAAGCATGCAGGAAGAGGTATACGAGTAATCTGAACGAAAGTGAGGACTCTGTATTCAACTTTGGTGTGTCTTTGTGTACGTATGTGTGGATCGCGTCATACTCAAGGTCACATCAAAGATGAGGTATACCAAAAGAAGACAGTTTGCTACTAAAATTAGATAGAGATGGACTGGCTAAACTGATTTATTGAGACAAAATGATAGCAGGAGGATGGTTTTTAACAGCTTTTTAGGTATCAGTGAGTTAACTTTTTTAATCTTGTTGGTAATCTGAGCTTCCCATTTTAAATTATGTGCTATTAAAACTCCTAGGTCTTTCTGGTACTGTACATTTTCAATTTCTAGCTGTCCCATACTGTAGTTTATATGAGATTTTGTCTTCCCAATATGAACTCTCGGGCACTTTTCTGCATTGAGTGACATTTGCCATTTGAAATGTTTGTTTTTATACCCATTGAAACGTAAGCCAGGAATAGAAGAGGGCCTAGTACAAAACCTTGTTGACCACCAGTCAGCACTGGGTGTCGGTTAAATGCTCTTACTGTCCGTAAAAAGTGCCTCTATCCAACTCTCACCTCGTTCACCGGAATGCTCAAGTTCATAAATCAAATGTTTATGTGCAAAAGCTGTTTCGTAATCAAGGTATGTCTATGGAATTTCCTTGGTCATCCATAGTTCTCCAATGTTGTAAAGCAGAGAGCAAGTCGGTAATCACAGATCTTCCAGGTAAAAAGCAATGTTGTGTGTGTCTGGTATGACGTTATTTTGAACTGAGAATTGTGTGAGAGTTCCCGCGTTATGATTTTTTCCATGAATTTACAAGGATTACAAGTAAGGCTTATGCACGTGGGTAGTAGTTTTCTGGTATATATCTTTCACCTTTTTTGTATACATGTGTGTACACATAAGAGTGAAGACAGGTTTTAGGTATAATTCCTTTGTCCAAAGATTCGGTCATAGCATCAGCTATATTGCATACAAAGGATTCACATTACACATGTTTTAGCTTAGATAGAGGATCATACTCCAAGGTCTGGCATAGGTTACCTTTTGTTGCGAAGATAAAACTTGAAGAGTTTTAAATAGGCGAAACTATTATTTTTCAAGTTAGAGATACAAACATGTTTTTTTATATTTTGACGAAAGCTATATTACTCGTTTGATCATGGAAATGGTGCCAAATACGTCCCACAGCAATTTCTTCGAAATCTAAGTTGTTTTCGTCTTAGCAGAGTCAAGAATCTACGATTATGACTGGTACCGTATTAACGTCAATACAATTGTTCAATCGGTGTTTCTGCATTACAATAGCTTCCCGGCAGAAATTTTGTATAGCTGCTGAATACGACTCGTCAATGAAAAACATCACAATGTTGCTTAATTGAAATTTATTTTATTTCGGAAATAATCTGAAATCCCTGGAGGCGAGATCTAGCTAATTTCACAGCCTGCTAATAAGTTGATGACCTAATAATTTCTCGGTTTCTGCCTCCTTGATTAATTCCATCACTTTCAACTCTTGTGCTAGTCCATCCCTGATGGAAAATTAAAGTTCCTTTTTCGTTCAAGGAAAATACCTAAAACGTCATGAAGAACGTTGCAAGTTTAAGCCATGGACATGTCCTCTACAACCTATGAATTGTCATTGGGAAGGAGATAGACACGATTTATTGACTCACTTGCAACAAATTCATCCTGGAAGGATCATATTAAATGATTCAAGAAGCTTCTACTGTAGGTCAGTTATAGGGACAAATTCTCTTTTTATGATGGTTTTATTCTACACCGACGACACTTTATTTAGGTAGGTAACAATGTAAAAATTTATCAAAAACAAGTCAACTTTTAGCAAGGATTTGACCTTCTCTCGACTTTTAGATCTTAGATCTTAATACATATTCGCAAGTGAAATTTTTCGTTCTTTCGATTGCCGGTGTCAAAAAGAAGGGTCTCGATCTAAAAAAGTTTACCTTGAAATAACCCTGAAGTTGAGGCTCAATGTCAAATCCAAGGTCAATATTGAAATCCTTGTTAACAGTCGATAAAGGTCTGTCCTTGATTTTTTCTGTCAATAGTCCTTCGAAATTGGGACTTTCATTTGATTTTTAGGCGATCTTCGATTTAATAAATATTCGGACGTTGAATTTTCCGTTCTTTCAATTGCCGGTGCTAAAAGGGGGTTTCTGTTTGAAAAACAAAAGTTGTCCTTGAAATAACGTTGAACGTGGGTCAAATTCACCATTGAACCCTTGTTAAAAGTTAATAAAAACATGACCTCGCCCTTTGTCAAAAATCTCTTATCGTTCCATTACTTTCCTTACACCCGATACGTGTGTAATCCAAAAAATGGCGTCAAGCAGCTTGACTCTGCACTTACTCAGTTCATAAATAAATGACAAGTTACACTTCCTGGAAAAATATTTATGAACATATACAATAAAAAAATCGATCAAGTCAGTCAAACAGACCCATACAATTAGTCCATCGACATTCTTTCCCAACCCTATCAATATTTACCGTCAATTCGGCAACGTTGGAAATAATGGAATAAAATAGAGGCGCTGACAACACCCTTGAAATATGTGTGCTGTAGTTTAATCTCGTTGAAACGTCTGATTTGTATAGTTTTCCTCATCTCGCTACCGAGTGCTTTCGACTGAAGTGCCGACGACATGCATGCCGAGGTAGAACAACCAATTCGGACTTTAAAAATATCATACGATCTTTTTGGGAGCTATACAAGTTGTTCCTTAGAGAGTTTCCCAATATCCCGATCATAGATGATGAGTCTCTAATAGATGCCGCTCAAGCGGAGTGGACAAGTTTGTTTCATCAGCTGCAATTCCTGTACAACGACACGGCAAAAAAATGTTGCCTGCAGACATTCGTCAGAAAATCTCTGACAAAAGAACCGCTATTAAGCAGACAAAAAGGTCTTGTCATCCTGATGACATTCGTAGAGCTACAAATCTTGTCCATGAAGTGAGAAACGCACTGCACGAATTCCGTAATGAGCAATGGAGCGACTTTCTGCCGAGAATGCTTGATTCAAGTATTCCTCTCTTTAGGGTCGCAAAGTCATTCAGAAACGAAAAGCGAGAACAACTCCCGCACATCCATTGTCCTGAAGGCACAGTATTCAGAAAGGTGGATAAGGTCGAGATTTTCGCACATGCCATGGAAAAACGGTTCTCTCCCAAGTATGATCTTGATAATGATCTCGACGAGGAACATCACATCGTACGATCCGTCAGGAGATACCTTAGGGCCAACGGCGTTAACGGAGGCAATGAATCCTCTTCAGATGGCTCTTCTTCAGAAGATTCGTCTGAGGCTTCACATAGCACATTACCGGAATCCTCCGAGGTTCCACATTGCACACTAGCGGAACTCCTAAGTCATATTAAAGACCTCAAGGTGCGTAAAGCACCTGGGGAGGAACAAATCAAGGTTGAAGCTGCTCTCGCCGAAAGCTCTGACATATTTGGTGACAACAATCAATGCGTTGCTCAGAATCCAGTACTTCCCTGCTGGGTGGAAGACTGCCGAGGTCATCATGATTCCAAAGAAGGTGGGTTCGATATCAGGATTACCGTCCCATTAGTCTGATGTCAACTTCTACTAAGCTCGCCGTAAAGGTGATTTACTTTTATAGCACCGAGCTACAGACAGTCAGGCTGGTGGAACATGTAACCAGGGGGTTCACCCTCAGCATGAATACTGGCATCTTGCTTTTGGATCTCTCAAAAGCGTTTGACAAGTTATCGCACGCGGGTTTCCTCTATAGACTAATCCTAAAGGGTTTTCCTTTTTGGCTTCTAAAATTACTGAAATCCTTTGTTTAAGGAAGAAAGTTTCGGATCAAAATTAACAATGTTTTGTCAACAACATGGGCAGTATGAGCCGGTGTTCCTCAGGGCTCGGTCCTGGGACCAATCTTTTACTCGCTTTTTATCCATGATGTGCTGGCAATACTGCGCTTGTCGCCCAGTTGTGTACTGGTGATCTGGTTCACGATGGGTTGCAGAGTGCGGTGGACGAAGTACCAGTGGCCAAACGGTGGCTGATTAAAATTAATCATTCGAAAACGCAGGCTATTTATTGTACTAAAAAAACGTCGTGGCCCCCAGCAGATGTTTCTGTAGACGGAAATCGTCAACCATGGACAAATTCTGCCAAGTATCTCGATAGAGGCATGACCTGGCAGAAACATACAGAAGCCTTGAAAACAAAATTCCAAATTGCGTTTCGGCAACTATATCCTTTGTTATGTAGATCCTCCAAATTGAGTTTGGTAAACAAAGTTCGACTATATGAAATGATTATCAGACCAGCCATTACTTATGTATGTATGTGCGGCTTGGTGTTTTCTTACCAAAGCACACACATGCAAAGTCTTCAAGCACTGCAAAGCAGAACTTTTCGAAACATTTGCAACGCTCCATGATATGTCTCAAATGAGAGACCTTGACATTCCTTACTTGAGGGATTATGTCAAGCTTCAGGCGCAGCGACGTTATAGTCAAGCGGAATTGCATAGCAACCCTCTGCTGCATGATTCAGTGGACTACACAGTGGAGCACGTTCCAAAACATTCAAGACCACGGCTCGCACTGTGATATTAACGCGAACTTTTAGTGAACTCAAAATTACACTCTAACAAAACCTGAATCGAAATTTGTTTTTAGTTCACCTCAAAATTAATCCCTGTACCAAGTCAAAAAGCCTAGGTGTTTCCTCTTAAACTAATACACTTCTGTTTTTTTTGCTCTTCTCCTTTTTTCTCATCTGTAGCTTTCTTTTTTTCCTTGACACAGGACTGACAGATTCGACTAACGTACACTAGACAGTGACTAATGGGCAAAGGTCCTGCGGTCCGCCCAGGAAAAACAAATAATGACGAATAGTATGATGAAAAATAGCGTGAAGTAAACTTCGCACTTGCACTGATCGGATCATGGAGGATTATGTTTGGCGGTTTCGGCACAAGTTAGGCTCTCTGAGAATGAATCTAGCTACTAACATGTATACTAAGTGACATATAAATCCGAACACCCAGTTTAAATGGATTTATTTTAATAAAATTTTGTATAAGTACTTAATGAAGCATAATAAGTAATTGATAAAAATTTCAAAATGATTGCACTGCTTTAAAGCCCTTTGACCTTTAATAATGTGTGGATGCACCCTGATGTGCTACGTCTTCTCCAACGCGCCTAGACATGCTTCTGATCAGGTGGTCAATGTCCTCCTGTGGTATCACATTCCAGGCAACCACCAACTCCTCTCGAAGTGCTTCTAGAGTCTGAGGAGGACGTTGCAAATTGAGCAATCTCCTACCCATCATATCCCACACGTGCTCAATTGGGGATAAGTCGGGAGATCTTGGTGGCCATGGTAACAATGTGACATCGTTATGTTGAAGGAAGTCTATTGTGACTCTTGCAACATGTGGTCGGGCATTATCTTGTTGAAAAGTTGGATCTGCCAGGGTGTCAAGATAGGGTAAAAGATGGGGTTCTAGAACTTCGTGGATATAACGCTGCGCGTTCATGTTACCTCTGATGAAGATTAAAGGTGACCTGGAACCATAAGCTATAGCACCCCAAACCATAACTCCAACAGTGTGATGAACATGTCTTTCAACAAAAAACTGTGGATTCCTCCTTTCACCACATCGCCTTCTAACCCTGGCACGATCATCGTGCATGCCTAAACAAAATCGAGACTCGTCACTAAAGACAATACTGTTCCATTCCTGATCCCAGAGTGACCGTTGTCTGCACCACTCAAGGCGTCGGTGTTCTCGAGTTAAAGGGAGGACCCAGTGTGGCCGGTATGAAAACAAGCCAAAACTTCTCATTCGTCGGTAAACACTTCGCATGCCAATAGGTCTTCCGTGTTCTGCAAACCATTCATTTGCAATGGACCTGGTAGTGGAGAAACGGTCCCTTAAGGCCAATAATCTTAGGCGGCGATCTTCACGGTCTGTTGTTCTACGGCGGCGTCCAGTGCCCCTTGCTCTTTGCGTACGGCCTTCTCGAAGCCATGCCTGACAACACCTAACCACAGTGTCTACACTTCTTTGCACTCTAACTGCAATTGCCCGAAAAGAAAGTCCAGCTTCCCGAAGTCGCACTATACGGCCCCTATCAAACTCACTAAGTTGACGAAATCGTACAGGTCTCCGTACTCTAGGCATCGTAACCGATCGTAAAGGATGTCAAGAACCAAAATCCGCCAACGTTGATTCTTTACTGCGGCTGAAATATTCATTTTTAGAGCGTTAGTGAATTAAAAAAAAGCAGTATAAAAACCGGAATATCCAACTGATAAGGCTGAAAATGTTTTCACTTGTTATTTACAGTAAGATAAATACATTCACCAACTTTTATTAAAATAAAACCATTTAAACTGGGTGTTCGGGTTTATATGTCACTTAGTATATAACAAATAGGCATGAATGAATCAAGTGACTCAAACGGATCTAAAAAATTAGTCCGTAGTCCCCCACCCATTTGACGACGTTGTTATCTAATTTTTCCTCTGCCCTACCAACAGTAGCGCCCGTCTGGCAACATTACCATGAGTGGCCGCTGTGGGTTTCCAGGGGGGCCGTGGTGACTCCTGAGTTCCGATTGGAACTCACAATTTGCATATTTAATTTGGGAATATTTGGGACCCCCTTCAGAAGATTTGCAACATCCGCTCTTATTGAAGTTTTGACGGCAGATATGCTTCAACTCCTCTAAAAGTTTTGGGGGCAGCCACACTGTCTCTTGCCGATGATCCCTCGCCCTGATAAAAATATAACTTCGCCGCCGACTATACGTGTGTTGAATAAATTTCTCTATCATCAAGTTTTAAGTGCCGATTTTCGGAAAAATGATGTGTGAACTATGTCTAATAAATGCGTAGAATTACCGGGGGTACCCCACCGTCTTCTCGCCCCAACCACACATTTTTAACCCCTACACAAACTTTCAGAAGCCTCTGAAACGTCAATAGCGAAGTCTAATTAGCGGACAAATCAACAGAGAGATAATTACCGTCGGAAATGAGTAGCATATGTCGTATATAATTTAAATTATAACTAATTTTAAGTTTTATTATCCTGTAGTTGGGTAGGAAGACATTTTGAGACCCGTGGGGAAACTTAACGTGTTATTTTTGGACGTACTTTCCGATTTTAAAAATATGGGCAATACGTTTATAATCACTTTGTATATTTTTTATATCATTCCATTGATTCTTTCATCCCTATTCCTTTTCAGAGCCTTTTGGCAGTTTGACGGAACACAGTCTCTCATGAAATTTTGCGTTTGCCAGATGCAGAGAGAAATAACAGAAGAGGACTTCTTCTACAGTTTTACTCTATTCAGTCTGTCCACTAGAGAAGAAAGTGTGAAACTGATGGCAAAATGTTATATTCCTGACAATTTGGAACATGATCTGTTCATTAGTAATCAATTTGTTGCGGTCCATTTCGATTTGTTGAGAAAATATAGTAACGAAAAGGGGGATGTGAAAATTAGAATACAAATAATTAAACAATATCCCGTGATATCTACGAATTCCTTAGAAACTAGTCTCAGTATCGAAAATAATATGCAAGCATAATCGTAATGTCAAATTCGTGCCTTGCCTAAACTACTTCCATGTGTACAAATTAAAAAGTACCACACCTCCTAGGGAAAATGTTTTTATTAAAAATAAATTTGTAGGTGTACGGATTTCGTTTTTAATGATACGTCATCAAGATTACAGTTTCATATAAAATTGCATCTGACGCTTTATTTGATGGTATACGGAAGCTTTAAATTTAAAATTTATGTTCATTGGTGAGAGCTTGTGCTATGTATTTTAACATTATTGTCGTATCAAATTTTATGTAGAACAGTGTTGCTTGTTTGTTCGAGTTTGTATAACTGCGTTTGTTTTATATCCTATATTTAGAAACAAAATACCGGAATAAAATGTTTTCACTATTATGACGTTAAATTGTGCCATTTGGCATATATTTAAAAAAAATAATGTATCTGGCGCGTTTTGCTACTTTAATGTACAAAGATGCTTCAGAAAAATATAACATACATATTTGTATGTGTGAGTTTATGCTGTGTTTAATCTTAGTGACTTTTAAATTTTATGGCTTGACTTTAAATATTGTTTTTATTTGTATTTGTCGATATTAGCATTAAGTTGTTATTAGAACATAGTTATAATGATAACTGAACTTATAATAAGCTGACCTCTTGTACGTTCTTGTGCAAAATGTCCTTTAAATCACGGAAAATTGGAGCAAGTGGCTACATTAACGGTTTTTAAAAAAAGCTGAAATCTCCGTCTAAACCTCCAAGCTATTGCGATTAGTCAGGTTTGCTCCAAAGTTCTTTGTTTTTTTTGTTAGATTTAATGTTAGACCAAAAAAGAGTTATCTCTTAGATTTTGAGCTTTAGATTCTGTTTTATTATTGAATTCGTAGAATTAGATTACTCCATGATGCTGCATATTTTGTACACCTTAATAAATTATGTGTTTTAGTATATGAGATTTATTTCTTACGTCTTGACGTATTGCTTAAATGTTCAAGCTGTCCCGCTTTTCCTATAACCTTCTAGAAAAAAAAACAATATAAATGTTCTGAGTGTAACAAAGTTTTTCGTGCACAGTGCATTTCAAACAGGTGCCATCGGAAACTTTGAAAGTTGCATGATAACTCAGAAATAGGTATCAAAATTTCGCCAGAAGCTCCCACTCTTCATCTTCTATGCAATTGATAATACATTCACAAAATTTCTTCAACGATATTATCATGAAGAAAATAGATATGTCTTCTAATAAAAAATGCACAGTATTGTGAAAGTTTATGGTTATGAGCATTGAAGACGTGAAAATACTGCAACAGACGCATTAGAGTCTTTATTAGACTGAAAGAGGCTGATTCATCCCACGAAGATATACTAAGTGACATATAAATCCGAACACCCAGTTTAAATGGTTTTATTTTAATAAAAGTTGGTGAATGTATTTATCTTACTGTAAATAACAAGTGAAAACATTTTCAGCCTTATCAGTTGGACATTCCGGTTTTTATACTGCTTTTTTTTAATTCACTAACGCTCTAAAAATGAAAATTTCAGCCGCAGTAAAGAATCAACGTTGGCGGATTTTGGTTCTTGACATCCTTTACGATCGGTTACGATGCCTAGAGTACGGAGACCTGTACGATTTCGTCAACTTAGTGAGTTTGATAGGGGCCGTATAGTGGGACTTCGAGAAGCTGGACTTTCTTTTCGGGCAATTGCAGTTAGAGTGCAAAGAAGTGTAGACACTGTGGTTAGGTGTTGTCAGGCATGGCTTCGAGAAGGCCGTACGCAAAGAGCAAGGGGCACTGGACGCCGCCGCAGAACAACAGACAGTGAAGATCGCCGCCTAAGATTTTATTGGCCTTAAGGGACCGTTTCTCCACTACCAGGTCCATTGCAAATGAATGGTTTGCAGAACACGGAAGACCTATTGGCATGCGAAGTGTTTACCGACGAATGAGAAGTTTTGGCTTGTTTTCATACCGGCCACACTGGGTCCTCCCTTTAACTCGAGAACACCCACGTAATCGCCTTGAGTGGTGCAGACAACGGTCACTCTGGGATCAGGAATGGAACAGTATTGTCTTTAGTGACGAGTCTGTTTGAAAGACATGTTCATCACACTGTTGGAGTTATGGTTTGGAGTGCTATAGCTTATGGTTCCAGGTCACCTTTAATCTTCATCAGAGGTAACATGAACGCGCAGCGTTATATCCACGAAGTTCTAGAACCCCATCTTTTACCCTATCTTGACACCCTGGCAGATCCAACTTTCCAATAAGATAATGCCCGACCACATGTTGCAAGAGTCACAATAAACTTCTTTCAACATACTGATGTCACATTGTTACCATGGCCACCAAGATCTCCCGACTTATCCCCAATTGAGCACGTGTGGGATATGATGGGTAGGAGATTGCTCAATTTGCAACGTCCTCCTCAGACTCTAGAAGCACTTCGAGAGGAGTTGGTGCTTGCCTGGAATGAGATACCACAGGAGGACATTGACCACCTGATCAGAAGCATGCCTAGGCGCGTTAGAGAATGCGTAGCACATCAGGGTGCATCCACACATTATTAAAGGTCAAAGGGCTTTAAAGCAGTGCAATCATTTTGAAATTTTTATCATTTACTTAGTATGCTTCATTAAGTAGTTATACAAAATTTTATTAAAATAAAACAATTTAAACTGGGTGTTCGGATTTATATGTCACTTAGTATATATCACTGCAAGCACAAAATGAAACCCCTCCACTCCTTGAGAAATAAAAGGGTCATTCAGTCATGTTTTTAGAAATGAAATAGCCATTTTTCAAAATAATTCTTAAGAAATGAAAGGGAAATTTTCTTATTCAAACTGAATGCTAACGCGCTGTTTCATAAACATTACGCAGATGGTCATTAAAAGAATATAACAACACTCTGATTTCTTGTTATTAATTTTACATTCAGGCGCGCTGAACAATATAGACACTAGAGCTGATTTTAGCTGGGGGGGTGTGACCACCCTTCCTTGGGTGGGACCAGGCGGCAATGTCCATTTTGCCATTACTTAATCCGCCACTGTGATGGACAACACCACAAAAAAGTTGTTGCACTGGATTCAAAGTATTAATATTAATTAATATTAATCGATTCGCAGGAAGACAAAAAGGAAGAATTAATTTTATTTAACAATAAATTGTTCATTTATAAATTAGATTTAATATTTTAATCACTTTACCCTAAAGGTACAAGGGTAGGGTTGTCATCTGATATCCGTTCCCCAGTCAAGTTTTTAATTTTTATGTCAGAGGCACTGATGTCAACCTCCCCCCCCCCCTCCGGAGACGAGAAGAACATCTTCCTGAACATGAAGTTTTTAGTTTTTTGACCAGTGTGACCCTCCCAGACACAAATCCTGGATCCGCCGTTGAGTACCGCCTCAAATAGTTTGAGACTGTTGTCTGCAAACGGCAGAATTCTCACCAACTTATTTATGTGCTAGGCAAACTGAAAAACTCCTGCCCTTCGAGTGAATCGCGTGTTGATACTTATATGCATGAGGGGTTAAAAGATATAGCGAAAAACGTGTCTAAGGCGATTGATTTTTCATGAAAAAACCGATTTAGCAATCTACGAATCAAAACCTTTCATCTGGTACCACATTTAGGCATATTCGCTTAGTTTGAGTTGCTCGCCATCCACGTTCACACCTTTTCCCTTCCCCTCAGCCAGTATAATTTGAGCGACACCTGTAAATGTTCAACATTCTTGTGCTTACAGGATTCATATAAACAAATAAATCAATCATCCAACTGTTTCTTCGTATTCCCATCTGCCGTTGTGTTCGTTCCAAGAACAAATCAAAATTCTCATCGAAGAAACAACCTGGTTAGTATAGACTGAGTTCTTTGCGAGAATATCAGGTCGTCAGATGCTAAAGTAGGGTGAATTCGATGCCGTATGCAGGGCGTCAAAGAAGTAAGTGTCAAACTTTGCTTTGGGTGATTCTAAGAAAAAAATGAGCCTTGGTCCGGTAATGTTTCGTTCTGAAGATGCAAAGTGGTAAACCCCTTTTTGAAACTTGAAAAATTGTAATAATGCGATTGTCACACGATCAGAATTTATTGTGATCCGCAGGGGTATTACGTATCTTGAAAAGTGACATTATGTCGGTTTTCTTGATATTATATAGGTTTCTTGTGATATTATGTAGGTTTTTCTACAAGATGACAACTTAGCACTAGCTATTGTACGCTTGTTGTACGTGTTGCCTAAACATCATTGGTCTAAAAATCTCTGACAATACTTTCCATCTTTAAAATTTAAGGAAGCTTTCAGTCTTATTCATCAATAATGGTTATCCGAGGTATTTGGTTAACAGAATCCTGTTCAGCTCTCCTCCTAATATTTTGCCAATTGCGAATAACAATATAGACAATGACAACACTGTCGTCTCCAACCCAACGCCCCTTAATTCTTCAACTAATGAGAATGACAGCACACTACGGTTGATGCTTCTATTTCCAGAGTTAATTGTTGTTGTTGTTAAATGTTGTCTTGCCATACATCAAAGAATTAACTCCAAAATGGATCAGGCTGTATAATTCCTCAAATTCTGGTTTTGCTTGTAAATCAGTTCTCAGTTTTCCAAAATTAAGGATAGGGTTCAGTTGCTTGATTCAACCAACACTGTCTATCGCATTAATTGTAACAACTGTAATTTAGTTTACATAGGCCAAACATCGAGATCACTGAAAGGCAGGATGACCTCACACAAAGGTGACGCCAGATTACATCCAGAGAGATATGCTTTGGCATCACATGCTAACACCACAGTACATTTTATGAGTTATGGCAGTATTAAGGTTCTTGACAACGAACATTTTTCAAAATGTCTATTTTTAGAAATGTCCCACAGTTTCATGACAGATGATTTGCGAAAAGTTAGGACGTCTAGATATCCTAGTTGATCTAACGTCCTCCCAAAGTTAAAACACAATTTCAATTATTTATCATGTTATTTGAAACATTACCCTCACGGTAATAATAAATTTTAATATATTTTCATACAACCCATCTTTTCAAGCGTGTATCACCATCTTTTCCCGAACAAATTTAATCCAGTATTTTGGGAATTAGGATGGGTTTTTACCGAGCGTCCCTCGTATACACTATACCTGAAGTTTGGCAATGATGTTTACATTTCCACATTCCTTCGCGAAAATCACCTGTCATCTGTCAACGCATCATTATTCCGGTTCGCTCATTTTCTCCATGTGAAAACGATGTAGGAGGTTAGAAGTGACTTTGCCGGTTTTTTTTTTCCCAAAATTGCTTTTCGATAATTTTTAAAGTGTGCGGGTGTATTGATATATTGTGTTAACACCTCACGATGGTTTCGGTCGTTATCAATGAACCCAATGTGTCCGTCCTTCTGGTTTGATATTTCATCCACGCTTTCGTTTTGAAATACCATTTGGCTGCAACCTCAGCGACGAGTAGGTTGTATGATAATTTAAATCCTTCCCGTATTGGTTGCTATTTGTGTTTTCATATCCTGAAGATGGCTCCATAGAGAATACAGAAAGCTCGAGATTACCGTTAAAAGAGTTTACTAAAGCCTAAAAAATTTTGCCAATTTACCAATTAACAATTGATTGTATATATATATATTTTTTTTTCATGGGCAGCATATTCAGTAATAATTTTCTTCTCTGCTACTTAACCACACATCTAATCAGACTACACTCTCGACATTCTGCAACCAACAAAGCTTGATGGGGAAAGTGACCTGTAGATTGCAGTATGCTTATTGCGGGCAAACGCGGAATGTACTATTTGCACACTAGGAACTATCTAGGCACCAAGTTGACATTTTGTCGTTTTTTTTTTGACGTCAGTAATTACAGTGTCCAACAATTTTTTATATATTCTCTGATGTTGCAGACACCTGGTTGGAGTAGATGCCATTGGTTCAGTTAGTTTTTGTGTCTCACTCTAACACTCCTGAAGTGCGTTTGTAAATCACTACGTAATGTAATACCGTACACAGTAATGGAATGTTAATTGACACATGAAATTTTACCCTCGAATAATGTGTAACTTTATTTTAAGAATGGCTAAATCATTACAAAGTCGTGTGACGGCACTTGATGACTGCCCAATAATTTATAACCACGTTTTCTGCGTGTGTCATTTTTCTATTATAAGAAACAATATGTATACGAGGTAGCTCATTTATTGTGAAGAATACATGTTTTGCCAATTTTGGGCATCTTTTGATAACTAGTAAGAAAGTAGTAAACTAGTATGGGGTTGTCCAAAACGGACGCAGGAAGGTAAACGCATATTAAAACAAGAAAGAATGATATTCAAATTAAGTTGGGTACTTTATTTTGAAGGTTGATTTTTACCATTTATGTATGAAAAATAATATCGCTCAAATGTTCACCACGACTGGATTTACAGACGTCCACGCGATGGTCGAAATTTTCAATGACATTTTGCAACATGGTCGGTTCTATGACCACAATGCACACCACACAGTCACTTTTTGAGGATGCATCGGCTGCTCTTGATACTCACGGGGATTTTCGTTCGCCCAGATGCGGCAGTTTTGCTTGTTTACCATCCCATTCAAAGTGAAATACGCTTCGTCGCTGAACATGATTTTTGATGAAAAATTGGTATCAATTTGGCGGTGTTCAAGGAGCCAATCTGAGAACGTTCGGCGCGAAAAATGGTCGGCCCGACGCAGCTCTTGCGTCAATTGGATCTTGTAGGCGTGTACATTCAAATCCTTGTGGAGAATGCGGAGCAAACTGGTTCTCGAAATGCCCAATTCTTGGGATCGACGCATTGTTGATTGTTTCGGATCGACTCTCACACTCTCCTTCACAACAGCAATATTTTCCGGTGTGCGAACGCTCCTTGGCCAGCCAGAGCCTGGCAGATTTGCCACAGAACCTGTTGCCTCGTATTTACGCACCAGACGACCGATGGTTGTTTCGTTTGGGCGGTTGTTGCGACCGAAATGTTCACGAAGCGCGCGAAACGTGTTTTTTATTTTTGCACCATTTTTTAGTGCTCTTGAATAACTTTAATACGGCCCTCAATCGAATACGACTCCATAGCGATCAATGGTAAACATTCAACTAACAAAATGACATGTCGGTGACAGAAAACAAAGATGGCGTCTATGTCAAATTGACGTTTACTTTCCTGCGTCCCTATTGGACAACCCTTTAGATAAAGTAAACAAACAATAAACCATGAGAATGACAAGTGACATGGTTTTGAGTACAGGAAGAGAAGTGCAGTTTTGGTGGTCCAGACGGATTAGATACTTTGTTCTGTTTCCGAATGCATGGAACAGGTACATCAAACAACTACTAATGCTGAAATTGTTATAGCCTGTTAACAACTCATCAACGCAGCCCCACAGTAAATACCTATCATGTGACATTCACCTTAGATGACTGCATTAATATTCGTAGAAAATCAAGTTGCTTTATTAAAACTACAAATTGCTATGGGCAATCCAGATCGCCGGATTTACAATTTTTCCTTTTGAGAGTTGGGTTTAATTGCCATCTTTCCGAGTTGAGATAACCCGGAACACAATTTGTCAGGAACGCTTCTGGTTAATTGCGGCAGCTTCTAGAATAAAAGCTGGGCTATCGGTTTAGGGCAAGTGCCACTCACTATCTGAGCTTCTCGTAATTGATTTTGCAGATAATAGTAAAGCATGATTGATTGATGACGCGTATTCCATTCTTACATCGACGAGCGGGCTCTCCTTTACCAATATGCCAACAACATTCGTGCGTTTGAAACCCTCACGTTCTAGCACTGCCAAACAAACCCCTCAGGCTTGGGGTCCAACCGAAACTCAATTTTTTTGCCGAAACGAATGTTCGGCGTTTGTCACTACTTTCGAGCCGAATTTTAATTATATTAATAGCAAAGGTTTTGCCGTTGGTTCTGTTTCTTATACATTGTGGCTCCGGCTTTAATGCAGTTGTTGAAAAGCTCCTTGTTAAAATAAGATAAAATGTAATAATTGCATATAACTTCAGTAAGATTTTCTGCTGTCTTATTTCTACAAGATACATTGCATTCAGATTGAAAAATGAAAATCTCTTGGTAATTAATGTGCTGAGATCACAGAAAAGCTCAGGGATGTTAGTCAAATTGGATCAACGTCTTACGTTTACATTTAAGAGTATATTTAGACACCGGCATCTATAATATCTTAAACTTGACATATGATCTGTCATGGTAATTTTGCCAACTGATTCTGATTTCTATATCGAAATTATTATGGCACCGTCGAAATTATGATAGCGGTACATCTGTATGATGGCAAGATGATCTCGAAATTAATTTGAAAGATTCAGTTATAAAATTGCTGCTAAAAAAGACAATAAAAAAACACCTTCAGTTGGAATATTAATTCAAACTGGGTTATACAATCAGACATTTATTTAAAATCAATTGATTATTTCATACCAACACCACAATAGGCTTTTCTATCTTCCTACCTTCCTGCGGGATTGAGCCAGGATTCATCAAGTCAAGTAGCTTGATATTTTCATGAGCTACTCAACGTGAAAATAGAATTACTTGAAAAGGTAATGCTTGACTTTTTTATTGTTCTACTTGACTTGAGGTCAAGCTTTTGCAAACTACTTGATATTTGATGACAACTTATATTTTTGGTCTGTAAAAGATCTTCAGTGACATTTATTTGTACAACAGATGAGCCGTATTTTGTATTTTAATGCAAATAATCACGTAGAATTGTCACTGCAATCTCAAAAGATGTATTCAAATAGCGTTGCCAAACCAAAGAACACAAAATCGGTAGAAAGTGTAATTGAAATTTGGTATACTCAAGGATAAAATCGATAGGAAGAAAAATCAGAGTCGGTGCAAGATTAGAGGCAAGTCAAGGGCTTTACACAGCTTTTCTGTAATACAAAACCAAATTAACATTAAACTTCTTCAAAAAAAATACAACTCAGCAACTAATGATACATGTTTTTTACAAGAACAAAATATAATGAGCATACATCTTTAGCTATCATACATGTTGCATAAATTTAAAAATAATTATTATGATAGAGGGAGTGGTTCAAAATCCGGTCAGTTGTCCCTTCCATTATTTTTAATTTACTACCATTATAAAACTCGTGGTTAGCAAATGACAAGCTAATTTAGAATTTTTCATTTTTTTGTATCAGGTGCTGAAGAAATGTTTTTTCTACTTGTTCTTACAGTTTTATCGTTCTATTATTAGCAGTATGTATTATTTTCTCTGAAACTTGCGACAAATAGTCTTTTCGTGGTGTATTATATATTATATATACATGGTGGCCAAACACGTGACGTCATAAAAAAAAATTAGATTCCCCACATCGAGAGGAACCCAAATCACCCCCATATATATGGTCCGATTTTGTTTAGTTTAGGAGTTATGATTTTTTTTCGGATTTTTCGAGAATTTTTGAGTTCTGTATTTATTTTTACCATAACTTCGTTAATAATTGTGATAAATGCCTGCTTTTTTCACGATTATGTAGCTAAGACCTAAGGCTTAACTATCATATAATCATTCCCCCACCCCCACCACTCAAGGCCGTCGACATTTCAACACCGTTTTAGTGTGAACATGTGGTCAGGAATATTCAATATGGAATTTATCGGTCCATTTGAACTGCCGTCAAGGTTGGATTCGGTAGCCTACAAAAGCTTCCTTGAAAATAGCCTACCATTATTGCTGGAAGATTCAAGCCTGGAAGCCAGACGGAACATGGTGTTCCAGAATGATGGTGCACCATGCCACAACGCAACGATCGTGCGAAACTACTTAAACGAAAGGTTCCCAGACAGATGGATCGGACGAAACGGACCGATACGATGGCCTCCACGCTCCCCTGACCTCAACCCCATTGATTTTTTTGTTTGGGGATATTTTAAAGACATAACATTCGCCCAAGAATGTGCAAATGAAAATTCATTGAGGAACAAAATTCAAGAAGCGACACATGTGTTGAAAAACAACACACAAGCATTTAGAGCAGTGGTTCCTAACCTGGGGGTAATTACCCCCGCAGGGGTAAAACGGAGATTCTAAGGGGGTAACACGGGATGGCACGAAATAGTATTAAAATAGCAATAAACAAAATAATAGTACGGTAAACGGTAGCACGGCGCTCTCATGCGCGCGGCCGACGGCGACGGCGGCGGGTGAGCTGCGGTGTGGGAGGGGTGAAGCATGACTAGCGGCGGGCCGGACAGGCGGCGATGTTCATTTTGTTTACCTAAGCTTAGGAAGAACACGCATTTTATTTGTTCCGCCGCGCATTGCAGAAATCGTATTTTTAAACGGTTTAAATTCAAAGGTAAGCAGTGTTTGTTAATATCGTCACGTTAATATTGTCACGAGTGATTTGTTTACGTAGGTATGTATTAGTTGATTTTTGTTTTAGGTACCTACAGGTGTTTTTGACATGGCTTCTACTTCATCTGGCAAAAAGCGCACTTATAAAGAAGCATTTCTACAATGGGGTTTCACAAGCATCGTAGACAAAAATATAGAAAAGCCTCAGTGTGTTTTATGTAATAAAGTGCTTAATCCAGAAAGCATGAAACCGAGCAAATTAAAAGAACATTTTGCTAAAGTTCACAAGGAGTTCGCAGATAAAAATATAGATTTTTTTAAGAAAAAGGAGAGGATTCTGAAGTCTTCCCGCATGGATTCAACAGGCAATATACAGAAAGCAAATGAATCATGCCTTCAAGCTTCATACAAAATTGCTTATCGCATCGCACGTAATAAAAAACCACACACTATAGGAGAGGACCTCATCAAACCTTGCTTGTTAGATGCAGTAGCACTTGTTATTGGTGAGCAACATGTAGCTAAGATTAAACAAATCTCACTCTCAAACACTACTATTCAAAGTCGCATATGTGAAATGAGTGCCGATATTCTAGCAACCGTTATTTCTGAAATAAAGGAAAGTCATATGTTTGCGCTGCAGTTGGACGAGTCCACAGATGTTGCTTCGTGTTCACAATTATTGGTGTTTACACGATACATTAAAGATGATGATGTAAAGGAGGAATATTTGTTCTGCAAGTCTTTGCCCACTACTACTCGCGGCGAAGACGCGCCTTCCATGATGGGCATCCGTTCTGGTTTTCAGGCACTCGTGAAGCAAGTTGCTCCTCAAGTTTTCGGCTATCATTGCATGATACACCGTTACGCTTTGGCTGTGAAAACGCTTCCATCAGATTTGCTAAACACGTTGAGTGACATAGTAAAAATTGTTAATCATATTCGAGGCAGCGCTACTAACTCAAGATTATTCAAAGTTTTGTGCGATGAAGTTGGTGCTACATTTAATGCTCTTTTGTACCATACAGAGGTACGTTGGTTATCAAGAGGCAAAGTTCTAAGTAGGGTTTACGAATTACGAGAAGAAATTGGATTGTTTTTTGAAAATCAGAGAACACAAAAAGAAAAAGAATATTATGCAAAAATTAAAGACCAAACATTTATTCTAAAAATGGCGTACCTTGCTGATTTTTTCACTGAAATTAATAGTCTGAATATTTCACTGCAAGGAAATGAAACGAATATTTTGACGTTGCAGGATAAAATCGCAAGTTTTTTGCGCAAATTGGAACTTTACCAACGCAGAGTTCAAGCTGGTGATGTGTCAATGTTTACACAACTAAGTGAGCAATTAGTAAATAATAAACAAGAGAAAATCTCGTTTGAAAATTCCGTGGTTCAACATTTAACTGCCGTGATAGACTCACTGCAGCAATATTTTCCGAACATGGACAGTCGTGAGTCCTACTCCTGGATTTTAAGACCATTTTCTACTTGCGTCGATATTTTCAAGGACGAAGATGTGTCAGCGAAAGTAGAGTTTCTCGGGCTGCGTGAGAATAACTCATTGAAAGTTGATTTTCAAAATGATAAACTAAGCACATTTTGGCGAAAAGCAGCTGCAGAATATCCCATTATAGCTGACAGAGCTTTAAAAATGTTGATTCCATTTGCTACAACTTACAGATGTGAAACTGGTTTCTCAACTCTTGTTACATTAAAAACAAAAGCCAGAAACCGTCTGAATGTTGAGCATGACATGAGATGCGCGTTGAGTGAAACCGAACCTAATATTGTCAAACTTGCGAATGCAAAGCAATTTCAACCTTCACACTAGTTAACTCCAAGATTTACATATTACTTTACTTTACTAGTTACCTAAACGTGCAATTTCTTAGAATTTAGTTAGATAATAAACATATTTTCGTTCGAATTTGTGTGGTTTTAATTATTTTAAATTGGCTAGGGGTAAACTCAATTCCCATACTTGTTCACAGGGGTAGTGACATTGAAAAGGTTAGGAACCACTGATTTAGAGATTTAAAACAAAATTTCATACGTAGGTGTACACTGTGCATTTCTGTTAGAGGCAGACATTTTGAAAACCTCTTGTAAATAACATAAATGAATAATAATCTGCTGTTCAGTAAAAATCAAACGTGTTTTTGTGGTTTTTGCAAATTTTTTTCCGAAACTAACAATTTCTATTGAGCAGAGGGTTATCCAATTTTGGGTTCGGTTCTATTTGAGCCACAATTACGGTAGCATGTAGTAAAGCTAGGTTGATGAAATTTTTACGGTAAATAGCTGATACCGTAAGGAAGTTTTTAAGATACTTACGAATAGTAAGAACATGTTTTTTCAATTTTTTATAAACGTTCAAAGTTGTTGCACTTTTTTACTTTTTTGTTATGTTCGAAGATTTTGAAAAAAATTAAAAAGTAGTATTAGTTACATCACTTGAATGATTATATGATAGTTAAGCCTTAGGTCTTAGCTACATAATCGTGAAAAAAGCAGGCATTTATCACAATTATTAACGAAGTTATGGTAAAAATAAACACAGAACTCAAAAATTCTCGAAAAATCCGAAAAAAAATCATAACTCCTAAACTAAACAAAATCGGACCATATATATGGGGGTGATTTGGGTTCCTCTCGATGTGGGGAATCTAATTTTTTTTTTATGACGTCACGTGTTTGGCCACCCTGTATATTACTTTAATTCTGTTGAGTTTTATATATCCAGCTCTGGCCAGTACGACTGCTACTTTATTCCTATAATGTCAAGAATGCGTAACACATTTCTACCATTCATTAATGTTCTACTAACCTTAAGTAGTCCAAATATTGCTGCTTTATTTTAACATCAGCTATCTACGCGAGAAATCTTAATCTTCTTTAAACGCTTCATTAAATACCAGATACAGGCAATCAAATGCTATCTTACCAAGACTACTATAAAATCTAGACGCTAAGCACTATTAGTATAACAGTTCACCGCTAATCGTGGGAGAGCTATTTTGTAAAACTATATAGTTGTACAGACATCACATTATACATAAATACACAAGAAGTCTATTTAATTAATCTCCTATACCGTTTTGTTGAACTGTTAGCTGTAAACCCGCACCGTCCGCGGAATATGAAGGAATGCAATATGGTAATCATTATACCCAGCCGCGATCATGGTTGGCGATGGAGATCCTGCTAGCTGCACCTATTATAAAGGTAATGTAAAAATCGTGAAATAACATAATATAATAATGTAATTCAAGGATTGGCGATTAAAATATTCTGGCAATAAGTATATGGGATGAACCTGATCTACAAAGCAGAAAAATAAAGTTATACGTGTTTAAACTAAAAAAAAGGGTAATACGTAATTCTACGACTACAGTATTTCGTATCGATAGTCGTCCAAAACCCTGACAGTTCTCTTTTGATCAACCTTGGCAATCAATAATGAAGTCTTAAAATTCATAAAGATAAGATAGTTCAATTCTCGGTTTCATAGACGACGATTTTACAGCATGAGGGCGTTTAAAGAGATGAGGGCTGGTTACAAATTCCTGTTTAATAAACACGTGTAGGTTATTACTGGTTTTCAGCTTAACTAATGAGAGGCGCAATATCGTACGTTTGGTTTTGAGTTTTGATGGAGCTAGAAGATACTTTTGACTTTCTAGATTTTTCAATCTGTACGAATTCTAAATAAGATCCGTAAGACGTATCTTCAAAAGTCACACGTCGGCTTTTTGACATTATATAGTTGTGTATGTTTTCCTATAAGATGCCAACTTGGAACTAGCTGTTCTTTACTTGATGTGCACTTGTTGTGTAGCTGTACGTGTTGCCTAAATATTATGACGCTTGAGCTATCATTGTTCGGCTCTGATGTGATGTAACATCTGCTTCAGACATAGCTGGAAGAAAATGGGCGAAACGGCAATGCGTAGGTGCTTAGTGAGGATACGTGTGCCAATAATATGTTTTTATGATAATCCCCTTACTTATGCAAATTTGCCGAATTTAAAAAATAAGAGATATAAAAAAAGAAAATTCCTGGTTGGTGAACAACTAGCAGGTGAGAAAGTAGGCTAAGGACAGGAATATTTATGAAACGTTAAAAGGTTATTACATTTTACATTATTTTTTATTTCCAGTCATTTTAATTTCATAGAAATTTATTTTGCGATGTCAAGTAGAAAGTACAAATTAGTACCTAGATGTGAGGACAGCGGAAATGTCTTGTGTGTGATGCATCATTCCTGTGATGTTGGTTAATTACACTAAACGTACGCGCTGGTAATTTCCCGTGATGCTTCTCCAAGTTTTTGAAAATGCAAAAAACGGCAAAAATCGTAATTTATAATTTTGAACAAAAACTCTCTTCAGAAAGGACAACACTAATAACCCGTCCCGTACAGCTAGTAGATATACATAAGTCATGGTTATTCTGTATAATAATGTTCTCACATAGCAAATATCACTGATTTTATGCACATAAAGACCAATACACATAATCATCCAGATGCGATCCTGCTGTTCTTCTGTCACATCTTCTCAGACTGTCTCGGCATTCTGCAATCAACAAACCATGCTGGCGAACTGATTTGCAGCATGGTCTTTGAGCATGTCGCTGAGTGATTCCACCATAGGTGACGCTATGGGTGCCGCTCACTGCGCTCCTAGCGAGCAAAAGCCGAATAAACTATTTGTACACAAGGACTTATCTAGTCCACAAGTTAACATTTTCTCGGTTTTTTGTCTGGGCAGCTGCTGCTCTGGTTACATTAACCATAGGTATCTGAGGAAGTTTCAAGTAGAGATTAACCGATATCGAATCTTCGCGCATATCAATATATCAGAGACCGATACATCGGCGTTATCATCTATTTTTGTACACAATCGGGTGTATTTGGTTCAGGTAAGTACATGGGCCGCAAACAAGTCTATTGACGGCTACTCACCCAACATATAGTTAACAAGCAGACTTGTCCTTTGCACAACTACATATGCAAGTATACTACTTGTATGAAATATTCGTGGATGTAATCTGGAGAACAAACGGACTTGAACAGTAACATTTTTGAAGCACAATCAATAACAATCCGTTTGGCGATTCTCAAAAAAATATAAAAATGTCACTGCATGTGGTGTAGACACAGCTGACAAACTGCAGGTTCTATTCATAAAAATAGATTTGCAAACATCTTCCGAGACCATATACACTTATTATATGTGCAACTTGCGCAATCCCGACTGGTAAAAGTGACAGGATGTAAATTCAAACATGTCTGATAGTACATTTTTCCATACATGTAAGCAAGTCAAAACATTTACTTGATCTGTTTCGGTTGCATGAAGTTGAAGAGTATGAAAATGTCGAAAATAAGCGAAACTAGTGCTGTCGATAAAGTAACTGACGAAAAGACGGACGAAATCGATAGCTTAATTTGTGCCCCGTGGGAAAATAGTGAACACATCAAATATGGAGTGTCAGCTTTCTTAAATATAACGGAGACGAGTATAACCAAATGAGATTGTTAAACTCTTCACGTAAAAGTGAAAACTGAAAATAGCTGACAAGTTTCGTTGATAAGGCAACAAAAAGAGGTTTTTCAATACAATCAAAATATATTTTCCCCTGTATTGTGTTGTCTTTTTTAATGCAACAATATTAAACGTTATTAATTTTATAATTTATATTGGTCCGCGTATATCGGCAAATGGGCAGTCAATATCAAAATTCACTCTCTCCGAGGTGGAGAGACATTGTCTACAGGCAATGAAGCTAATTGTGAGCTGCAAGTACGTTTATGGGTATCTTTGGGTAGGAATAATTTGCGACTGTTGATTGGACTTCTAAGTGGCCACAAAACACGTCTTCTCCACGTCACGGGAGTTATCGATAATCTACTTTATGGCGGTGAGAAGGAGTCCTTTTCCCGAACTAGGCGGGTGTCCTCTAGAAGCTGCTTTCCATACCAAGCAGGGTCAAGCACAATTACATTACAACCAAAGTTCGTGCATTCGGATAAAATATAAAGAAACAAGTTGAGATTAAATACAAAACTAACACTAAAATGCGAAAATTTATTAAAACTTCGTTAGACCTTTTCACAATCAAACAAAGTAAAAGATCAGATGTGAAGTTTGAGAGCAAGTGTCGAAAAAAGAAATAGATTAAAAATAGGGAAAACATTCATTCCGACCGAGAAAGTAAGACAATCACAGTTAACAGAAGTAACATTACACTAGTCTAAAACTAGACAATATAAAAAGAAATATTTAGAAAAACAAAGTTTTTGACTTTGGCTTAAAATGTGACATTGATAAAACTTTAAAGCCATCGGAAAGCATATTTAGGAGATATGGTGCAACAAAAAAAGACTTAGTTAATAGGGTAGTTCTATGGAATGAACCGCAGATTTGCTGCATGATGTTGACTTTCTCAAAGATTATTATTTGAATATCCGTTAAAAATCCGTTGAAATGGAAAAGCGTTTGATATGAATTATGGTGCACTGATGATTGTGCATATAGGTGTTGGCGATAAAACACCAGACCGCATGCGTAGGCGAGTGTAGATCTAATGACCATTTTATATAACCGAATTTTGTTCATCAAGCTTAATGAAGGATAAAGAAACTTGGTATTTTGTTTTCAAATTATCATTGTGTTTCTGCCAGGTCAACGCTTTGTCAATAATGACTCCAAAGTATCTGGAAGAGTGTTGCTATAGTGTAATATGGTGGAATCAGAACGTATAATAATAAGTTTATTTCCGGATGGCTACACAATTAGTAGTATTTCAGGTATATCATGTATAAC